ACCCCTTTTGTTTGTCCCTTTTTTAATGGAACCTGTAGAAGATTTGCTATTTCTGTCATGTTTAATTATAAATAAAAAATAAAAATTAATTATAAAAAGTTAATCAAATTTAACACCTCCTTTATTTAAATCAACTATTATTTTCCATGTTCACCTAATTGCTGATATTGTGTGTAAAGTTCATTAATGCTCATTGGTAAATTCACTTGATAAAGCATAACGTTCAACTGTTGACGACTAAAACCACTGAAAATGAAAAGTGTTGATAGATTTGATTTAATGTTTGTGCTTAATGCTTTGAAGTATTGAACAGCCATGAAGAATGAACACTGAATGTGTCGACATTGAGTTAATAACTGATTAAAATATGATTTCTCATTTGTTATTAGTTTTGATTTCACCGCATCATCTAGAAAAATGAGTGAATGCAAAAATTCTCTATCAAAATTTGAAATAGAAAGTGTTTCAAATAATTCATCCCGTTGTTTATCAATAATTTTATCCTCTAATCCTTGCTTCTTGATTGTATTATATAATTCTTTATACATTAAAAAGTTTTTTTAATCTTCTGCTTCTTCTTGTGATAAATAAATAATTGGAATTTTGATTAAATGCTTTAAAGATTCAAATGTATCATCTGAAGGTGAACCTGAACGGTTGATATAAATTAACACATGTGAATGGGGGGTGTTAGCAATAATGATAATTTGTTTTAATATCGTTAATGTTTTACCTTTATTTTGTTTACCAATTGCTGCAGTGATTGAATTTAAGTAACATTCAGAATATGGAATTTTCATTAATTTTTCCTTAGATAGAGCATTTCTATTATCACTCAATGCTTCATTAATCATATCATCTACGTATGTATTATATACTCCCGCTAATTCTTCATAAGAATTTAAATCCATTTAATCAAAAATAAATTTATAATTTTTACATTTCTATTCATCAATATTTCATCATATGAACTTCTATACTGTGGTGGTGTACCTGTTGGATGATATTTCAAACCTTCATCCGGTGTCCATGTCCAATATGTAGTCCTAGTAAACCAAACCTGAGGAGGATTTGTCACTTTGAACAGTAAGTGTCATTTTCACCCTGAATGATTGGATAAGCTTTCACTTGTACTGTAACTTGTGAGTTGAAAGTTTCTAATCCATCAAAGAATATACCCGCTCCATCACGTTGAACTGGAATAGTGCATAAGAATGAAGTTTGGTCTTTCCATGTTCTAGCTAATGGCGTGCCATCATCATCATTCAGTGGTCTAGTTAATGAGTCCTCGTATTCTTCTGTGCATTCATTCACTCCATCTAAATCAGAAGCTTGAAGCATACGTGTAAAGAATATGTCACCCACTGTGGTCATCGCTTGATCGGGGAAGTTTCTGGAATCTATAGTGACCTGAAGACCTCGAAGCATTGGATTTTCTAAAACTGTTCTTTGCATTGCATTCTTCGGAAATGCTAACACAACATCTGTAACATTATGAAGAGCGTATGAGAAATCTGAGCTGATACCTTCAGGAGTGATGCAACCTCCATTTAGTGAACGAACGTCAATATGTTGAGCTGGAATCATGAATGGATCTTCCTTACTGAATAAACGTGGTATTGCTTTAACTGATTCTTCAATTAAACCGTATCCTGGTGTAATGCATTTATCCTCTAAAACTTCCATCTTTGTGCATGAAATAATAACGTCATCAACTGTTGCGTCAGCAGATGTAGCGGCTAAGCTTGTAATTAATTTGGCAGGAAGTCCGATTTGTTGGAATTTGCGATCATATTTATAAACATGATTCATAATCTTTTCATAATTTTCATCAGTTATCTTTTCATAAACGTAATTTTGTAAATCAGCAACTCTTAACGGGTCAACCTGACAAAATACTAAAGTATCCCTGAAAACATAATATTTAAGAATGATTTCACCAAATGATTTAGGATAATCATCGAACGCCTGAAATGCTAACAAATCATTTACCGGAATAATCATATCAAAAGTGATATCAACTTCTTCATTTGCTTTCTTGAAAACTTCTGAAGGGTCAATATATTTACCACATACTGAGTTATCATATTTTTGAACATTATTATATAACGAATGAACAAACTTTTTAACTTTCCTTTCTGATTTTGGTTTATATGTTGCAAATGCGAAAGATTCACGGGCGCAATCCATCTGAAGATAACCGGCATCACCTCTTTCGGTTTCTACTTCTAATTGTTTAAAGCTTTGATTTGATGATTTGTAACCAACGAATAAACGCATGCATTTAAAAGCGGCATCACATGTGAAAGCTTTATTTGAAACTAGAGTTGCTTTAACTTTGCGTTTAATATATGTGTCACCTAATTGGTTCACATCATGAGCCGGATTTGTAATTCTTAAATGAGTTTGTTTATCATCAAAATATGGAGCATCAGAGTCATAGCATGAACTTTCAAGTTCTCTATAATATCTTCTTCCATCATTCTTTGCGAATATTTCATTTATCTTTTCGAATGAATGAAACACATTTCCATTAATCGGTTTAGTGTTTGGCACCAAATAGTTAGTCGTCATTTATTATTAAATAAAAAATCAAAATTAAAAGATGAAAATGAATTTTTAATTTTAATGAAATAATCAACTATGGCTGCAGGATTCTTTAAGAAACTGTGGGATAAAGTAAAAAGAGGAGCGCATAAAGTTTGGGAAACAATGAAGAAAGGAGCAAATTGGATATTTAAGAATAAAGAAGCAATTAGTGACGTTGCTGAATCAATAACACCAAAAGCTGCCCCAATAAGAGAAATTTTAAATAAAGGAGAAAAAGTTTATCAAAGACTACAACCGATACTAAGATAAAAATAATATTTATTTATTTTTCCACTATTTACCCCCTATTTTATTAAGTATTCCTTCAGCAATTCCACCAATTGCGTTACCTGCTTGTGCTCCCATCGCCGGATTACCTGCTTTAGTACCTAATACGCCACCTATGATAGTTCCTGCCGTTTTCGCTACTGGTGCCAAAAAGTTTGCAACAGGTTTAATAACCTTTTTATAAACCCAACCTGCAGCTTTCTTAATTCCATCCCATAATTTTTTAAAGAATCCTGCCGCCATTTCTGATTTAATATTAATTAAAAAATATATTTCATCACTTATATTCTAATTTTTATTTAATGATAAATGAAACCAATTTTAAAAATAAATGAAACAGAGGAGGAAGAAATAAATGAAAGTGAAAATGTTCAACAAAAAATAAACGTTGTTAAACCAATTACTGAAATAAAATTTTTTTCATCTGTTGATGAATTTAATGACTATTATGCTAATAATAAAAAATTATTTGAAGAATTGACAACATGTAAATTGAATAAAATGTTTAAAGTTGATGGATTCAAAATTTCAAAAATAAAAGGAGTGGTTAGTTTGAAATCTATTCCCCAATCAAGAATCACCTCATTAATGAAAATAGATGATTTAACAAAAAGAATAGAAATTATTGAAGAGCGAATAAATCAAATTATTGATTTCATAAATCATGACTCGTTGAGCCCAGGTCCTTAAAGCTCAGGACTTAAAGTCCATCACTGAGTTCAAGGTTATATTCATCAAATATTTTATTATTAAATGCAACTTCTGCTAGTTTATTTATTTTTTCAATACGATCATTTGAAAGTCTATCGTTTAATTTTTTCTGAAGTTTTTCATTTTCTAGTTCTGAAACTTTATTTGGATGATATTTAAACCCGTTAAATTCTTTTTCCTCAGTTTTGATCATTAATTTACAAAGAACTTTTGTGGTTGGAATTCGTTTAAACCATTTATCATTAATATTTGTTATATATTCAATATTCGGAATTAATTCCCAAATTTTTGCATTTTCAATTAATTTATTATCAAATGCAAAAGCAATAGGTTTAATATTAAACTTACCTTTATAATATAAACTTTCTACATAATCATCGAAATAAACATCTACTTGTTTAACATTTTCAAGAATTGGTGAAAGAGCATCCATTAATTGATTGACGGTTACGAATCTTGATCCACTCATTTTCATACAAATTAAAAAAATAAATTATTCAAAAATGTAAGACATGAATTTTTAAAGTTTATTTTTTATTCATGAAAATAATTATTTCTAATTTCTTTTACTCTCTCGTATATACTAGATTTGAAGAATTCAGAACTTTTACCATAATCTCCTAAATGTTTTCTTATCCCCAACGTGTGCCAGTTATTATATGAAACTGAATAAACTTTATCTTTATCTTTACACCTTTCATCACTTCCAATATATTTATATCTCAGTTTTGATTTAGCATTTTCATATTCATTAACGTTTAATAATTCACAGTCTTCCTTTTTAAATTGATGTTTAAGATATTCAGGATTTAATACTCTACGTTTATATGCTCCTAACTTAGTTCTAAAGGTTTTTCTACAAAATTTAGGAATTCCATCCTCTTTAATGTCATCAATGATTTCCATTTCATTATTTTCAATTTCTTCTTCTCGTTTATGAGGTCTTTGATTATGACTCCATTGATTCCATGAAATTAAATATTCTTTATCATTATATTTATACCTCATTAGCTTATTTTGGCTTTCATATTCATTTAATAATTCACAATCTTCATTTTTAAATTGAAGTTTAACCCATTCAGGATTTAAACAATGTTTAATTAATCGCGGAATATCTGACATCATCTATATATATATAGCTTCTTTTATAAAAGATAAAAAAATAAATTATTTTAAAATTAATGTTAATTTTTTTAATGATTTATAAATAAATATTTATTACTAATTTATTTAATAATGTCACACTTTCTTACGAATTCATGACTTAAAAAACGTAAGAAAAAAATTTTATATCATATATATATAGAAGATGTGAAAATATACCTTCATCTATATATAGACGTAACAAAAAAAGTCACTAAACCCATCATATCCTACTACTCAAATTCGAAGATAAGAATGGATTTAATCTAATGCAGTTTGCATTTGATAAGGAAAATATAGATTTAATTAAATTTCTTCTTGAAAAACATGTTATGCTTTACTACAAAGAAGAAAATTTAAACTATGAACCAAAAGAAAAAAATGGTTACAATAGTGTTTTTGATGAAATCGAATCAGAAGTGGAAGAAGAATATTACGAGAATGAATTTGATGATCCAAAATATAACTTTTATAATGTTATGGATTCTGCAACTCATACTAATATAGAAGCTTATAAACTCATTTTAGAAAACGGCGGCCAAGCAAATGCAAAAGGAGAATATGAATTTAAGTCAATTCTTGATTATCATGCTTCAAAAGGACACATTGATATTGTTGAAATTCTAATTGATCATGGTGCGAAAATTACAACGACAACATTCGAAATTTGCAATGACAATAAATGTTTTATTTGCTTAGTTGATAAAGCAGACGAGAATTTCCTTGATAGTCATCTTGATTTATTAGTAAATGAAGATAGCCGTCCATCAGGCTTCTTTTTTTACATTCAAGATAAACTAATTGAAGAGATCTATCCAGATGATCTTATTAAATGTTTGTCGAAAGCTTTGAAGGTCAAAAATGAAAGTGTTTGTCTTTATATCTTGAAAAATTTTGATATTCAATATAAGGATGAGTTCAATTATTTCAAAAATGATGATGAACATTGGCTTATCAATGCAATCGAAATGAATTCTCCAGAATTGGTTCGAATGCTTTTAGATATCATGGAAAAGAGTCAATTGATTGAACATTTCTTTGATCCAACGGATTATATCCAAATTGGCCGTTATGATAAAAGGCGTCGAATTGTTCCAGATTATTATCTTCGTGCAGCGAAACAGAATAACACAAAAATAGTTAAAATACTTATTGAACATAAAGTTCCAATTAATTATGATTCAGAAGACTTCTTCAAGAATGCTTTATTCTGAGCTGCTGTTCGAGGCAATGTAGATGTTATCAATTTACTTGTTGAATATGGATATCGAAAGGTTGATATTGATTTTGAAGATGAAAATATCCATCCAGATTTTGTTAGCTTAATTAAAAAATAGAATGTATAAAGTTGATAAAAATTGAGCATTTTTTAATTTTTGAGAATTGAGAACTTTCTATCCGTTCCACCGAACGAAGATAATATTCAGGGCTGCTGTTAGAGGCAATGCCGACGTTATCAATTTACTTGTTGGATATGGATATCAAAATATTGATATTGATTTTGAAGATGAAGGTGTCTCATCCTTCATTATCCATCCAGATTTTGTTAACTTAATTAAAAAATGAATAAAATATAAATTATCAATACACTTTTTATAGTTATGGATCATAATTAATAGAATAAATTACTTTTTTTCCAATATGTATATTTATTAACTTACATTATAGTTTAAGAGCATATATTAAAGGAATACAACTTAATTATAGTTTAAGAGCTCTTACTATCAATTTTATAAAATTAAATTTCTTAATTCTCGAAATTCAATTGTATGATAATAGAATGTTTTTGGCTCATGAAAATGTTGCATGCTAAGTTCGGTCAAAATGTAAACCTCTCAATTTTATCGTCGGGGAAAGTAACTCAATTCCTTCAAAATTATTCTTTAAATATTGAATTTAAAGTTATTTAATTTGGATTATAAATAAATAGGCTAATACAATATTTAAAAATGAGAAAAAATAACTTTTCAAAGAACTTTTCATAATCTCAAAGAAAATTTTTTATTCAATAATTATATAAATTAATTAACATTCATAATGAAATTGGATTTTTTTATAAAAAATTGGTCCTACTTAACTTTTTGAGAGAATTTGGCTTTCTCGTAAACGAAAAAGGGGATTTGACGGAGTCAAATCCCCGCTCACAAAAAGTGGACTTTACATGTCAAATTTTATATGCATGTAATGTCCACTTTTATGAGTTTTAGGAAGGAATTGGAAGCCATGAGTTACTGACATTGCATCAGTATCTCATAGCCTCCAATTCCTTCAAAAAATGGGAGAAACTTTGTCCGAATAGTTTAACATTCGGACAAAGTTTCTCCCATTTTAAGAAGGAATTGGAGGGTAAGAGATATACCATATGAATGTATATCTCTTACCCTCCAATTCCTTCTAGAAAGTGTCCAAACTTTGGGTTAATTGCAAAGTATTAACCCAAAGTTTGGACACTTTCAAGTGGAGATGGAAGGCTTTGGGGTATATATTAATACAATATACCTCAAAGCCTTCCATCTCCACTACAAATGTGAGAAACTTTGTCCGAATAGTTTAACATTCGGACAAAGTTTCTCCCATCTTTCAATGTAATTGCTACCTGTGAGGTACTGACTTGAAGTCAGTGCTTCACAGGTAGCAATATCCAAAAATTTAAAAACATTTTATCAGTTAGTTAAAGAACTAGAGCCTCCTAGGTACTGAACCAGAATCAGTGCCTAGGGGACTCTAGTGATCTATATAAATCTGAGAAACTTTGAGGAAATTGTTCGACATTTCCTCAAAGTTTCTCAGCAATTTAGCGAGGAATGTTCGTTATCGTGTAGATATTTATAATATATACATGATAACAAACATTCCCCGCTAAAAGATGTAAAATCTTATAAGAAATAATTGCAAAAGAATAACAAATTGCAACAAATTTTATATGAAACTGAACCTTATGAGGTAGTGATTCAAGATCACCGCCTCATAAGATTCAGTTTCAATCTCAAGTATCTCAAAAGTAAGGCTCTATTTTTTGCCATGTAAAGTGTCACTTTTTCTGTCCAAATGATAAGTTATTCAGAGAAAGTTTCCCAGCTATCAAGAGGGAATTGTTCCTTATGAGGTATATAGTTATAATGTATACCTCATAAGGAACAATTCCCTCCTTAAAACGAGAAAACTTGTTCGAAATTGTTTATCATTTCGAACAAGTTTTCTCGTTTTTAATAAGAAACTAAAGGCTATGAGGCACTGATTATATATTAGTGCCTCACAGCCTTTAGTTTATAATAGATAGCTGGGAAACTTTCTCCAAATGATAAGTTATTCAGAGAAAGTTTCCCAGCTATCAAGAGGGAATTGTTCCTTATGAGGTATATAGTTATAATGTATACCTCATAAGGAACAATTCCCTCATTAAAATCGTAGATATTTTTTACTTATTACTCATGCTTTCAAAATCACAATCCTCTGAAAAGTTATTTTTTATTAAGAATTTAGAATTTTGATAAATACCTTTTTTCAATTTGATATAATACTTATATATTTTCAAAAAGACATTTTGAAAAGATATCTCAAAAGTTCTCTGAAAACCTATTTTTGATTAATTTTGAGAAATATCCGTATTAAATTAATCAATAAATTCATTCAACACTACTTTAATTTTTAAATTCAAAAAATTATATGTGCTTCTTAAAATGTCGCACAAAAATTTTATTATAAAATTATATACAATATTAAAAATCCCACAACATTTTTTACTTTACATAATCGGACTTCCTCGATGATTAATTTCCCCTCAATTCCTATCGTTGACCGAACTTAGCATGCAACAAAAAAACAACTACTTCTACAAGGTAGTTGTCCGAAAAAAAAGTTACAAAATAGTTTTATCCGTTTAATTTTTCAACCCCTCTAAAAAATCTTCAAGTTTGAAATGGGAAAAGACATTGTTTATGAAGATTTAAAGATCAAAAACTTCAATGATGTTGTTATTCCAGAACCATTTCAACTATTATATGAAGCAGAAACTCATTACTTTAATCTCAACTCCGAAAATTTCGAAGAATCAATCAAATTCTTTGAACATTTCATTAAAGATGGTCCAGGAGAAACGCAAGAAGACAATTTCAAATACCTTTTAGAATTGTTCAAAGATGGCAATTTACTTAAAAGATATTCCGATAATTTACACTTCCGAGTGCTTCAAACACTGAATAATATTTTCAAACCAATAATCAGAACTAATAGTTCAAGTTTTTATTTCAATGCATACAATGCTGGAATAACTGTTATACTTCCTTTTGAACTTGCAAAAGCATTAGCAACACCAAAAATGTCGGAACGAAATCCACCAGACAAATTAACACAAATCATTCTTAATGATGATGTCTCAGAATTTCAACAACATTTTGATAATCCCAAACCAAGTTATTTATTCGGGATTGTATTTAGATTATTTAAGAAACCATCAATCAATATTATCAAATATTTACTTATCAGCAACAAATTTGACGAATTACTGAAAGCTGACAAGTATGCTAAATATTCAATAGCAAATAATGCAATTTCATCAGGGAATCTAGAAATTATACGATTATTTGAACAAAAAGGGATTAATTATGATGCTCGTTTATCAGATGCATTTGAAACAAGAAATCCAGATTTAATTAATTGGCTTCTTGAGAATTATCAACAAGAAAAGGTTAATTATGTCAGTTTATCTAACATTAAATCCATCATTTTCTGTTTAGAAAACAATATTTGTTTAGATTATTATCGTTTAATCGAAATTTATTATGAATCAAAATTCAAATCAATTCTTGAATACATGATTAAATTCAATTTAAATATACAAGAACAAGAAAGAACATTTATACAAAACCAAGCTGATGATGTCCGATCAATTATTTCTGATTCTTTAATCAATAAAAAATACGATTATTTCAACATTTTATATGATTTAGGATTTTCATATGGTGATCAATCTTTCATACATCCTTTAGCATTTTTAGTTTATGAAGATATTTCAAATCTTGATCTTTATGAAAAGGTTTATAAATTAACTGAAAGAAGCAAATCAACTAGTTTTCGAATTCCAGAGATTTTACTTCAAAAAGTTTTGCCAAATATGGATTTGATGAAGTTTTTCTTAGAACGAAAAATCTTTAATCCAAAGCTAAAATCAATTTTGAAATATTGTGGTCTTGAAGAGATGAAATACATATTTGATCATTTTATATCATTCGATGTCAATCAATTTAATTTATTCTTTACTTGTGATCAAAATCATAATGATTTCAATCCAGAATTGATTGAATATATCGTGAAAAACAATGAAGTTAATCTAAATGATAATAATGGATTTTATCTAATGAAGTTCGCATTTTTCAATGGACATGTTGATTTAATTAAATATCTTCTAGGAAAAGGTGTTATTTTATCTCGAAAAGAAATCAATCAAGAATATCGATATAAGAAAAAAGAAAGACAAAGTTCATGGGGTAGTTATTACTCATATGGTAATTATTCTAAAGAAGAAGAAGAAGAGGAAGAATATCAATATAATATGATAATCCAAAATATGATTTTTACAATGTTATGGATAATGCAACGCATAATGTATTAGAAGCTTATAAACTCATTTTAGAAAACGGCGGCAAAGCACATGCAAAAGGAAGCGAAAATTGTAATACACTTCTTGATTATCATTCAAAGAAAGGTAACTTCGAAATAGTTAAAATTCTTGTTGAACATGGTGCACGAATTACAGAAAATACTATCAAATTATGTAGCGAAGATACATCTTTATATTGTTTGATTGATCATGCAGATGAAGATATGGTGGATGAAAGTCTTGAATCATTAATTAATAATGATGAAAAACCATCAGGATTTCTGTATTACATGAAAAATCATTCACTTGAAAATTTAACAACATATGGAATTCTTTCTTGTTTATCCAAATCTTTACAAGTCAAGAATGAAAGTGTTTGTATTTATATCTTGAAATATGCTCTAAAACGTGAGGATTATAAAGTTGATGAATTTACTGATGAATATGATCACTGGCTTATTAATTCAGTGGAAATGAATTCGCCAGAATGTGTTCGATTACTTCTAGATTTCATGGAAAAAATTAAATTCATTGAAGACTATTTCACACCACGGATTATCCATCTCAAACAATATTATGGGCCACAATCACGTGATGCTATAATTCCAGACTATTATCTTCATGCAGCGAAACTGAATAACACTGAAATTATTAAAATACTTATTGAGCACAAAGTTCCACGTACTCAAAAATCTAAGGAATCCCTTAAAAATGCATTGTTTTGGGCTGCAGTTCGCCAAAATGCAGAAATTATTCATTTATTACTTGAATATGGCTATGAAAGGCTTGATATTGCAGAAGAAGACCTTGCACTATTTCATATTCAACCCGATTTTATTAAATTAATTAGTAAATGACATTTTATTTTAAAATAATCAATCAAATACAAATGTTTAGCACCATCTCTGCTTTATTTGTAATTTAAGGGTGTACTATTTCTTCAATTCTACATCCCAAAATATTGGTTTTATATAAAAGAATGTAATTACTTTGAAAGTTATACTAATCTATTTTTAGCTGACTAGATCAAACAAAGCTCCTCAATTTTTGTCCCCCGCTTGAAGGATGTTGTAGATTCTCTGGGAGACAAAACGACATCATTATCTTTCAAAAAAATTCGAAGTTTGATGTTTTTCAGAGAAAATTTGTTATCTTTACTTTATCTTTGTATCTTTGCGAGCTTGAGCACGCGGGTATAATAAAGTGCTCACCGAGTAGATCGCCATAATTCTGCCTATCGTCGTGCATCATGTTTATTATTGAATTGATACATTATCTTACATATGAAAAATTTCGCTTTCAAAAAAATATGAAAATATACGATCCATTCTTGCTACAGCTAAAATTTTTCCAAGGTGTTTTAGTGCCATTTTTGAAAATTTGAGAACAACCGTCAAATGAGTTCTCCTCTCCGCGCATCAATCATCACATTATCGGTATTGAACCCACAGACCAATCAATATCAGCAAATGGGTCAAATTCCAATAATAGTAATGCGTATTAATGGAAAACTTCAAATTATTCTTATGAGATCAAAAACTCAACCATTAATGGCTATTGATCCATCAGAAAACAATAACTGGGTCATTTCAAATGACGTTTACGCAACATTTACCGATAAAAATGGCAGAGTTTGGCTCTTTTTGTTTAAATCCGCCGAAGAAACACTTATTTTCACAATGGTTGCACTATACGGTACAGCAAAACTTAAAAATGGAAGCCCCATTACTATCGTAAACAAAGGCGGAAATCAAATCGAACCAACTCATGACATTTCAGTCGACTACAAAATTTACAGCCTTAAGGAGTCCAACTTAGACAATCCCAACGAACAACAAGGCGTAAATGTTGGATTCACTGAATCATCTCCATTAAGAAATCTTTTTAATGGCGGATACTACGGAGCTACTCATCTTCTTTTCTACGAAGAAGATATTATCTGTATTGCAACAGTATCAGATCCAAATCCACCAGCTGCTCCAAAAGAAACTCCTCAACCAGCACAATCTCTTCCGCAAATCGGAAATTCAGAATCAAATCAGCCGAAAGTAGAACAACCAAAGCAACAAGAAAAGCCAATCGAACAACCTAAACAAGTAGCCGCAGCTCCTAAAGAAGAAATTAAGCCAAAGCAAACAGAAACTCCAAAACAAAATCCGCCAGCAGAAATTAAGGTCAAAGAAGAGACTAAAGTACCAGTAGTTGAAGAAAAACCAAAATATATCGAAGAAAAACCCAAATTTACAAACGAAAAGCCAAAACTTTCTGACGAAAAACAAAAAACAATATTTGATGCACAACTCGACCAAATACGCTCCGAAATGTACGGCAAATTCAACGAGTTAAGCAAGATGGTTGCTGCTATTAAGCGCCAACAGGCTTCTCGTGCTGCAACTCCTCAATCATCTGATATTCTCATTGCATCTGTCGAAAGGCTTGTCAAAGAGAACGAAGCCAAGGACAGACTGATTGCAGAGAAGCAACAATTGATAGAAATGCTCAACGCAAAGAAGAATGATACAAGAGAAAGGGATGAATTAAGAAAACAGCTCGCAGAACTTACAGCAAAAGTATCAAAGACAAAAGAACAAACAAAGAAGAAACAGGAAGAAAAGAAAGAATTAGAAAAGAGAATTGAGGCACTTAAGAAAAAAGTGTCAGCTGCAAAAAGTGACAGTGAATCCAAACTTGCCAGCATACGTCGTGAGCTTGAGAGTGAGAGGCAGCGCCAGATGCAGGACTTAGAGCAGTCCAAGCAACAACTCCAGTGGAATGTCAACAAATCTGAGGAAGAAATCAAAGAATTGAGAAAGAAATTAACCGAAGCTGAAGAACTAAACAAGGAACTGAAGGAGAAGAGCGGTGTAGACTCAGCAAAGGAGTTAGAAAAGCTCAAGGCTGCAGCAGATCAACTTCTCGTCAATACAGTGAAGAAAATGGTTTCGGGTGTATACCAGAACTGTCAGAAGATCTTTTCCGGTGCTGAGTTTGATGGAGCTCAGGTAATTAAGGGCGTACGTGCTGCTCTTCAGGCACAAGCCGAAGAAATTTTATCGGAATTGGAGTAATGATCTTTTAAAGTACCTTATAATAAAATGAATGTATTATATTATTCTTCTTAGTACTAAACTCTTTCAAAAATATTCAATTATTTAATTTTTTTTTTATTCATAAGTTACCCAGATTTGCCTTTTTTTACCACCCCTGTAAGACTAGGGACACCACATATCATTTTGGGAAAGATCATATATGTTAAAAGTTTGATAAATGCATTAAATTATTTGGGCAGTTTTCATTTTTCATATTATTGTTAGATAAATGCATCTAAATTTTCAACATATAATCTGTGATGGAGATGATAAAGAAATGAAGGATAAATTTGAACAAATTCCACTCATTAATAAAGCAAATATAGGAAATCTTGAATTTGTTAAATAGTTAATCTCAACCGGAGCTAACAAAGGACACAGGATGATTGTGGATCTATTCTATACTCACAAATACATTGCATAAAAGCAATTTTAATATTGTTCAATTTCTTTTCTCTGTTGGAAGTGATAAAGAAGCAAAGGATACTCGTGGAAAAACTTCAGTTACTTTGGGAACCTGCATTTGCATTTCCCAGATTCTTTCAATTAAAACCGTTTATTTGATCTGAAAGTGATCCTAATAAAACAATAGAATTCATTTTTGATGAAAATTTATACAGCCACTATATACTAGTAATTTATCCATTCACTTCATTTTTCCTATTTTAATTGAAAGGAAATTTGGTCATCATTTGAGACCCATTCGCTTTTTTCAATCAATTTGCTTTTTTTCAATATTAAAAATGGAATCTGCCCTTGATCTTAAGCCAATATATGGCTCCAAGGTTTTCAGGGAAGCTGTGATCAGGATGCGCTTGAACAAGAAAATCTACCAGAGTTATCTAAAGACAATTGAAACTGGTAGCTCTTTAGACGTTTCAATAGCTCCTGATGTTGCAAAGGCCATGATGGAATGGGCAATTGAAAACGGTGCTACACACTATGCACACTGGTTTTTACCAATGACAGATGTTACTGCTTGCAAGCATGATTCATTCTTTACTCCAACATCAATTGGTGAATCAACACTTGAATTTCCTCCAAGCACATTAGTTAAAGGTGAACCTGATGCTTCTTCTTTTCCATCAGGTGGTCTTAGAGCCACATTTGAAGCAAGAGGCTATACAACATGGGATCCAACATCACCAGCCTTTGTCAAAGATGGTACTCTCTTCATTCCTTCTGTATTTGTTTCATATAATGGCGAAGCTCTCGATAGAAAACTTCCATTATTAAGATCTGTCGAAGCTCTCAACAGAGAAGGCCTCAGATTCATCAAATTCTTCAAAGGCCAAGAAGATGTAAAGAGAATTACTGCATCAGTAGGCGCAGAACAAGAATATTTCCTAATTGATAGGAAACATTACGAAGAAAGACTTGATCTTAAGATGTGTGGTCGCACACTTCTTGGTGCAAAACCACCAAAAGCTCAACAGCTTGATGATCATTACATGTCTGGAATCAAAATCCGAGTTTCAGATTATATGAAGGAACTTGACCATGAATTATGGGAACTTGGTATTCCAGCGAAGACAAAACATAATGAAGTTGCACCATCACAGCATGAACTTGCTCCTGTATACGAGAATGTCAATATTGCAGCCGACCACAACCAAATGACAATGGAACTCATGAGAACAATTGCTAAGAAGAAAGGATTGGCTTTACTTCTCCATGAAAAACCTTTCGCTTACGTAAATGGAAGTGGAAAACATAATAATTACAGTTTAGGAACAGATACAGGCGTAAACTTACTTCAACCACGCGACAGATCTGAAGATGATGGTTTATTCCTTCTTGTCCTCTGTGCATTCCTTCTCGCTGTTGACAATTACGGAGATTTAATCAGAATGGCCGCTGCTTCTCATTCGAATGACCAAAGACTTGGCGTTTCGAGGCTCCCCCTTCAATTGTTTCCTGTTTCCTTGGCGAAGGAATCACAGCCCAACTTTTATCCGCAGCAAATTCAGATCCAGAGCAGCCTAAACGCGAAAAAGGCAAAATGTCCATTTTACCATCAATTCCAGACTTATCATTAGATGATAGTGACAGAAACAGAACGTCTCCAATGGCATTTACAGGAAATAAGTTTGAATTCAGAATGCTTGGTTCATCACAGTCATTAGCTGTAGTTAATACTTATCTAAATACAGCAATTGCTGAGTCTCTTGGATATTTCGCAGACAGACTCGAAAAAACAAAAGATGTCGAAGCAGAAAAACAGAAAATCATTGAAGACACAATTACAGAGCATGGAAGAATCATTTTCAATGGAAACAACTACTCTGATGAATGGATTGAAGAAGCCAAAAAGAGAGGATTGCCAATTATCAAGAATACAATTGAGGCAATCGAAGCAATTGTTAACAAGAAGAACATTGATTTGTTTGAGAAGATGAAAGTATATTCTGAAGCTGAATGCCATGCAAGATACGAAGTTCGTGTAGAGAACTACATCCAGTCTGTTTCTATCGAGGCTGAAACATTGTTACATATGATGAAGAGAGAAATTATTCCTGCAATTATCGAATACACAGGAAAAGTTGCTGATTCCTTCAATAAGATAAAGAAATCTGGCTTCAACAACAAGACATTGAATAGCACAATATCTATTCTTAATAATTCAATCGAAACTATTGATAGAGATGTCAAGAAATTGGAAGAACTCACTGTTGAAATTGCAGATCATCCAAATAACAAAGAAAAGGCTGAATTCATGTACAACAAGATCATTCCACAAATGATTGAAATTAGAAAGAATACTGATGAAATAGAAACTATTGTTGGAAAGGAAGACTGGCCTATTCCAACTTACACACAAATTCTTTACACTCTTTAAATTTGTATTTTGTAATAAACTAAATGCTTCTTTATCTTTGTAATAAACTAAATTCTTTTTTATCTTTGTCTATCAGTCCATGAGACATATTAACTAACAGTGCAAAATTGTGCTACAATAATTTCTAATTTAACTCTCCTAAAGGTACATTCACTAGGCGATAACAGTAAAATGGGATGAAAATAGGATAAATAGCATCCCTATATAGTGCCTAACAATATTTATACGGGCCAAAAAAATTTGGCTAGAGATTTGGCGAGTTAGAAAACTTAGATAATTGAGAGGAATTTTTATTTTCGAATTTTTTTTGGAAAGTTAAAATTGTGATTAAAAATCGATTTCCGGGAGAACTAAGCATCTCATCATATATTTAAATCGATAAAATTATTAAATAATAGTTGAATAGTACAACTACATGAAATTTTGGCTGAATATACAGAAAAAATGAACATATTTGACATTTTTGAAAATTCATATAGTTAGATGGTGACAGACCCATAAACTATACTTTAGCTAAGAATGGTATATGATTTCAACAACACATGATTAAAATCGTAAAAATTTTTTAGATTTCAAACAGATATATGGTAATCTAATGGAACAGAGTCAGCAAATAGCATGTAAAATATGTTACAATTAACTTTTTATTATATCCAATAGTAAATATCGAATGGTATCCAGCTTTATGGTTAAATATTTTCTTATCGAGCTTCTCTTGAACTGTTGTATTAAGGTTGTAAATTTTTGATGCTAGGAACTTTGGAATCTTCTTTGCTGCAGCATTTTTCTTGAGAGTTCTTGCAATTTCGAATAGATCTGCGCATTATATGAAATGGGGGCTTTAAAATATCTTGAAAACAGAATAGGACTGCTTTTCCAAAGGAATGCTTACTTGTAAATCAGAGAGTTTCAAAATTGAGTACAAGATTATCATCATAACTTTTGATTTTGCTGCGTAAAAGGAAGACAAGGTATTAACAAATCATTTACTGTTGTTCATCAAAAGAAGAAAACTTTGATAACAACTAATGATGATAAAATCAAGCAATCTTTTAATATTTTAAATTGATAAGACATTCAAAATATTTGAATGGTTTAAAATATTTTCTTTTAATTTCTCTAATATATTATCATGATTATATAATCAAATTTAAATTTTTATTCAAAAAGGCAATATTTCAAATTTTTAATTTCAATAATCTTAATTCTGCAATAAATGTATTTAATTGCAGCAAATTTAATGATCTTTCGTCATGGTTAGCAATTTGGAACTCATAAATTAATGATTTCTTCAAGTAAAATTCTGCATTATTTCAAAAGTCAATAATTCTCTAGTAACTTTTCCCCAAACCCTAACCATTATATTATATGTGTAATAGAGAATAATTGCAAAAAAAGATGGCCGAATTTACTGGGATGCGAAATAAGTAGTAGATGAGTGCGGGTTTAGTGACTTTTTTTGTTTCATCTATATATAGACGATGCATTAAAATATATTTATTTATAAATCATTAAAAAATTAACACTAATTTTAAAATAATTTATTTTTTTATCTTTTATAAAAGAAACTATATATAGATGATGTCAGATATTCCGCGATTAATTAAACATTGTTTAAATCCTGAATGGGTTAAACTTCAATTTAAAAATGAAGATTGTGAATTATTAAATGAATATGAAAGCCAAAATAAGCTAATGAGGTATAAATATAATGATAAAGAATATTTAATTTCATGGAATCAATGGAGTCATAATCAAAGACCTCATAAACGGGAAGAAGAAATTGAAAATAATGAAATGGAAATCATTGATGACATTAAAGAGGATGGAATTCCTAAATTTTGTAGAAAAACCTTTAGAACTAAGTTAGGAGCATATAAACGTAGAGTATTAAATCCTGAATATCTTAAACATCAATTTAAAAAGGAAGACTGCGAATTATTAAACGCTAATGAATATGAAAATGCTAAATCAAAACTGAGATATAAATATATTGGAAGTGATGAAAGGTGTAAAGATAAAGATAAAGTTTATACAGTTTCATATAATAACTGGCACACGTTAGGGATAAGAAAACATTTAGGAGATTATGGGAAATGTTCTGAATTCTTCAAATCTAGTATGTATGAGAGAGTAAAAGAAATCAGATATAATTATCATTCATGAATGAAAGATTCACTACCATAATGAAATAAAAAAAATAAAAAAATAAACTTTAAAAATTCATGTCTTACATTTTTTGAATAATTTATTTTTTTAATTCGTATGAAAATGAGTGGATCAAGATTCGTAACCGTCAATCAATTAATGGATGTTCTTTCACCAATTCTTGAAAATGTTAAACAAGTAGATGTTTATTTCGATGATTATGTAGAAAGTATATATTATAAAGGTAAGTTTAATATTAAACCTATTGCTTTTGCATTTGATAATAAATTAATTGAAAATGCAAAAATTTGGGAATTAATTCCAGATATTGAATTTATAACAAATATTAATGATAAATGGTTTAAACGAATTCCAACCACAAAAGTTCTTTGTAAATTAATGATCAAAACTGAGGAAAAAGAATTTAACGGGTTTAAATATCATCCAAATAAAGTTTCAGAACTAGAAAATGAAAAACTTCAGAAAAAATTAAACGATAGACTTTCAAATGATCGTATTGAAAAAATAAATAAACTAGCAGAAGTTGCATTTAATAATGAAATATTTGATGAATATAACCTTGAACTCAGTGATGGACTTTAAGTCCTGGGCTTTAAGGACCCGGGCTCAACGAGTCATGATTTATGAAATCAATTATTTGATTTATTCGCTCTTCAATAATTTCTATTCTTTTTGTTAAATCATCTATTTTCATTAATGAGGTGATTCTTGATTGAGGAATAGATTTTAAACTAACCACTCCTTTTATTTTTGAAATTTTGAATCCATGACCCTCCGGGTCTTGGACTCTGTCCTCAACTTTAAACATTTTATTCAATTTACATGTTGTCAATTCTTCAAATAATTTTTTATTATTAGCATAATAATCATTAAATTCTTCAACAGATGAAAAAATTTTTATTTCAGTAATTGGTTTAACAACGTTTATTTTTTGTTGAACATTTTCACTTTCATTTATTTCTTCCTCCTCTGTTTCATTTATTTTTAAAATCGGTTTCATTTATCATTAAATAAAAATTAGAATATAAGTGATGAAATATATTTTTTAATTAATATTAAATCAGAAATGGCGGCAGGATTCTTTAAAAAATTATGGGATGGAATTAAGAAAGCTGCAGGTTGGGTTTATAAAAAGGTTATTAAACCTGTTGCTAACTTTTTGGCACCAGTAGCGAAAACGGCAGGAACTATCATAGGAGGAGTATTAGGTGCTAAAGCAGGTAATCCAGCGATGGGAGCACAAGCAGGTAACGCAGTTGGTGGAATTGCTGAAGGAATACTTAATAAAATAGGGGGTAGATAGTGGAAAAATAAATATTATTTTTATCTCAATATCGGTTGTAGTCGACGATAAACCTTATCTCCTTTATTTAATACTTCCCTTACCGGAACATTAGGTGCTATTTGTTCAGCAACGTCACTAATTGCTTCTTTATTCTTAAATATCCAATTTGCTCCTTTCTTAATCCCTTCCCAAACTTTATGCGCTCCTCTTTTTACTTTATCCCACAGTTTCTTAAAGAATCCTGCCGCCATAGTTGATTATTTCATTAAAATTAAAAATTCATTTTCATCTTTTAATTTTGATTTTTTTATTTAATAATAAATGACGACTAACTATTTAGTGCCAAACACTAAACCGATTAATGGAAATGTGTTTCATTCATTCGAAAAGATAAATGAAATATTTGCAAAGAATGACGGTAGAAGATATTATAGAGAACTTGAAAGTTCATGCTATGACTCTGATGCTCCATATTTTGATGATAAACAAACTCATTTAAGAATTACAAATCCGGCTCATGATGTGAACCAATTAGGTGACACATATATTAAACGCAAAGTTAAAGCAACTCTAGTTTCAAATAAAGCTTTCACATGTGATGCCGCTTTTAAATGCATGCGTTTATTCGTTGGTTATAAATCATCAAATCAAAGCTTTAAGCAATTAGAAGTAGAAACCGAAAGAGGTGATGCTGGTTATCTTCAGATGGATTGCGCCCGTGAATCTTTCGCATTTGCAACATATAAACCAAAATCAGAAAGGAAAGTTAAAAAGTTTGTTCATTCGTTATATAATAATGTTCAAAAATATGATAACTCAGTATGTGGTAAATATATTGACCCTTCAGAAGTTTTCACTAAAGCAAATGAAGAAGTTGATATCACTTTTGATATGATTATTCCAGTAAATGATTTGTTAGCATTTCAGGCGTTCGATGATTATCCTAAATCATTTGGTGAAATCATTCTTAAATATTATGTTTTCAGGGATACTTTAGTATTTTGTCAGGTTGACCCGTTAAGAGTTGCTGATTTACAAAATTACGTTTATGAAAAGATAACTGATGAAAATTATGAAAAGATTATGAATCATGTTTATAAATATGATCGCAAATTCCAACAAATCGGACTTCCTGCCAAATTAATTACAAGCTTATCCGCTACATCTGCTGACGCAACAGTTGATGACGTTATTATTTCATGCACAAAGATGGAAGTTTTAGAGGATAAATGCATTACACCAGGATACGGTTTAATTGAAGAATCAGTTAAAGCAATACCACGTTTATTTAGTAAGGAAGATCCATTCATGATTCCAGCTCAACATATTGACGTTCGTTCACTAAATGGAGGTTGCATCACTCCTGAAGGTATCAGCTCAGATTTCTCATACGCTCTTCATAATGTTACAGATGTTGTGTTAACATTTCCGAAGAATGCAATGCAAAGAACGGTTTTAGAAAATCCAATGCTTCGAGGTCTTCAGGTCACTATAGATTCCAGAAACTTCCCTGATCAAGCGATGACCAAGTGGGCGACATATTCTTTACACGTATGCTTCAAGCTTCTGATTTAGATGGAGTGAATGAATGCACGGAAGAATACGAGGACTCATTAACTAGACCACTGAATGATGATGATGGCACCATTAGCTAGAACATGGAAAGACCAAACTTCATTCTTATGCACTATTCCAGTTCAACGTGATGGAGCGGGTATATTCTTTGATGGATTAGAAACTTTCAACTCACAAGTTACAGTACAAGTGAAAGCTTATCCAATCATTCAGGGTGAAAATGACACTTACTGTTCAAAGTGACAAATCCTCCTCAGGTTTGGTTTACTAGGACTACATATTGGACATGGACACCGGATGAAGGTTTGAAATATCATCCAACAGGTACACCACCGCAGTATAGAAGTTCATATGATGAAATATTGATGAATAGAAATGTTAAAATTATAAATTTATTTTTGATTAAATGGATTTAAATTCATCCACCCCTTATGAAGAATTAGCAGGAGTATATAATACATACGTAGATGATATGATTAATGAAGCATTGAGTGATAATAGAAATGCTCTATCTAAGGAAAAATTAATGAAAATTCCATATTCTGAATGTTACTTAAATTCAATCACTGCAGCAATTGGTAAACAAAATAAAGGTAAAACATTAACGATATTAAAACAAATTATCATTATTGCTAACACTTCACCCTATTCACATGTGTTAATTTATATCAACCGTTCAGGTTCACCTTCAGATGATACATTTGAATCTTTAAAGCATTTAATCAAAATTCCAATTATTTATTTATCACAAGAAGAAGCAGAAGATTATTTAAAAAACTTTGTAATGTATAAAGAATTATATAATACAATCAAGAAGCAAGGATTAGAGGATAAAATTATTGATAAACAACGGGATGAATTATTTGAAACACTTTCTATTTCAAATTTTGATAGAGAATTTTTGCATTCACTCATTTTTCTAGATGATGCGGTGAAATCAAAACTAATAACTAATGAGAAATCATATTTTAATCAATTATTAACTCAATGTCGACACATTCAGTGTTCATTCTTCATGGCTGTTCAATACTTTAAAGCATTAAGCACAAACATTAAATCAAACCTGTCCACCCTTTTCATTTTCAGTGGTTTTAGTCGTCAACAGTTGAACGTTATGCTTTATCAAGTGAATTTACCAATGAGCATTAATGAACTTTACACACAATATCAACAATTAGGAGAACATGGAAAAATAATAGTTGATTTAAATAAAGGTTCCATTAAATTCGAATAACTTTTTATAATTAATTTTTATTTTTTATTTATAATTAAACATGACAGAAATTGCAAATCTTCTACAGGTTCCATTAAAACAAGGAACAAACAAAAAGGGTGCATATAATAGAACTATGAAAGTTCCAGACGGAATGAAAGAATTAGTCCACATTGTTGCCGGTCTTCAAAAGGATGTTAAACAAATGAGAAACGTTTTAACATTACCAGAAGCTCAAGCATATGCCAAACGTCACGGACCAAATTGGGAAGCACACGAAGCAGACATTACGGGTCCAAATGGAAAACCTGATGGAATAAATGAAGTTTTCGTTACTGATGGTCAAGGAAATATTAAAGTCATAAATGGGTATAAATTAACAATGACGGATTATCCTAAACGTAAAGCATATAATGAACATTATCCTATGCAATTTGATGAAAATGGAAAAGCTGTTAAACAATACATTGGAGAAGGTGAAAATGGTCCAATTAATTCATACCGTCATAATCCATATTCTTACTTCAATGAAGAATTAAATGCTATTGAAGAGGGACCGGATGGATTACCACGATATTCTAACCAGTTTGATGGTCAATATGCAAATTTAAGACCTGAAATTCCAGCTAAGAAATTCTTTAAAGTTGCTTTATTCGATCCAGTTTTCGCAAATGTTAAAGATGAACTTAAACAGCAATTCCAACCAATTATAGTAGCAAGAATTGCATCAGGTGCTTTATCTCAAGCATTCAAAGATTTAATTAAGAAACCATTATATCAGCAACGAGGTTTAACTTATGATTTAGTTAAGGAATCAGATAAAAGAAAATTTGAGAAATCAATGATTATAAGAATGCAATTAATGAATATATTCGGTCTATTAATTTCGATGAAAATGCTAAAAATCAACTTCATGAACAAATACAGGAAATAATAGATTCAAAAGTTCCAGCAAAATAAAAGTTTAAATATATTTTTTTATTCGAATATAAATGAGAAGACGTTTCACTAGTCAAAAGAACACTAACGCAAAAGCAGAGATTACGGTTGGTTATAACGTAAATGATGATAAATCACGAATTATTCAAAATGTTAAAGTTAATGTTAGTCCTGAATTAACAAGGTCAGCAACTCAACCAAATTTATTAACTCGTGACTTACCGAAGAATGAGGAGAAGAGAAAAAAAAGAATGGAGACCCAATCATTTTATCTGAACCTGGTAAAGAACCTGTTGAAATTCCCACTTATCCAACATACCCAGCACCACTTGATAACCCAGGAATCTACGATTACAGTCGCAATGCGCCATATAAAATAGACATTAATTCTGAATTAATGAAAATTTACCGTGATATAATAATTAATAATTATGATTCAATAATAAATTTAATTGACCAATCCGGTTTAATTATTTTACCTTATGAATCATTAATTCACATTATCGCCATTCTTTGTGATGTTCAAGATTCAGACGTGAAGATTCAATTTTTCATAGATGATGAGGTTTCATGCTGTGGAACAGTTGCAAAAATAAATCCTATAAAGGATATTAGCACAATTAAGATATCAAAGAACGGAACAACAACTGAACTTCATTTAACATATAATGATATTTATAATAAAATAGTTGATGAATATAAAATATCACTTGAAAAATTCTTTGTTAAGGCTATTTAATATTCAAGCATTAACATTATCGAATAATAATCCTTTGAATCATAATCGATAATAATTGACCTTTCACCAGTTTCTATCGTTTGTTTTATTTCTTTTTGTTCCCCACTATCCGGATCAGTCATTGTAATTGTTTTTGTTATAGTATCAGCTTTATCTTTAACTTCAATCTTTTTTCCATCAGGATATTTAAACCAAAATTCCAAAAATTCGATATTGTCAATCTGTTCATATTTTAATCTATCAATTACATTTTTAATACCATCTGAAAATCTTATGAAATGGTCATTATATGGGTTTGATTGAACTAAATTTGAATGAAGTGAAATATAACCTGATGATGAATATGACATCGACTCATATTTTCTGAAAACACTAAAATTTATAACATGAATGAATTTCTTATTCGTTGAATTTATGAATTCTTGAGGTAATCTTATTCTAGTTTTATTTATCACTGGAAAATAACGCTTTACCATATTTTTAATCGTAATAAAAAAATGTCAATTATCAATATTATTTCGAATAATAACTGTGAATTAAATTTAACAGTTAGCGGAATTTATAATGTTACTCTCGTTTCTGTGAGTGGTAAATTTAATCCCATTCTTTTAGACCCTTCAGATTATATATCATTTATTAAAGATGACCATGAGCCGCATAGCGGCGGGGTCGTAGACCTAAAAACGTATGATATGTATATAAATAATGTGATAACGAAATGGGATATTAACATGATTTTAAGTTATTTAAATGAATCATTTATCGTATGGTATGAAGAAAATTTTAAATCAAAACCTGATAAACTTTTTGAACTTGATGAAATAAATAACCTTATTAAATTTCCGCTGAAAATTAAATTTTGTACTCCTCGTCTTCGTTCATTGTTGGGGATATTAAATTTTGAAAAAGATGTTGGGGATGTTTTGTATTCTGACACTGGTTCTAATTTCATTTTAATCAAATGTGATAAAGTTAATACCCCAATGAGATTTTCACATCAAACATTAGACCCTAACTCTTACCCATCAATACAAAACATTTTATCCATCAACTTAAACATATTTTCTTTATCATATCCGTTTCAATTATCCGGGAATTCATTTATTCTTCATTCAAAAGATTTATCAAATATTAAATTTAGAATAACTGACCTATTTGATTGTGATTTAGAATTTATGAATGAAATATTATGGCAATTTCAAATAGAAAAAATAGCTGATGAGATAACAGATTAAATATTTATTTTTAAATCGTAATAAAATGATTAAACAACAACAACCACAGACCATTACATACGCCACATATGCATATAATTCAAAGACGGCAGAACAAACGCAAAGGTTGAAATATGGAGATTTGGAGATAGTATTGAAAAATGACCATTTTGAATTCGTTTGCAAAGGTGGTGCAGTGATATCAAATATAAAAGAAATTTTATTTATGAATTCAAAAATTAAAGGAATAACGGATGATATAACATCAATTCCACCAGAAGAACAAAGATATTACGCATTAAATGCATTTCCTAAAGTTTTGAAGATTGGAAGATTTAATTTAAATGAGGAATTCATAAAAGGTTTCCTAAATGACATAATGAAGAAAGCAGATAAAACTTATGTTAACGATGAGTTAGCAAAGAAGGCAGATAAGGAATATGTTAACGATGAGTTAGCAAAGAAAGCAGATAAATCATTTGTTAACGATGAGTTAGCAAAGAAGGCAGATAAGGAATATGTTAACGATGAGTTAGCAAAGAAAGCAGATATATCATTTGTTAACGATGAGTTAGCAAAGAAAGCAGATAAAACTTATGTTAACGATGAGTTAGCAAAGAAAGCAGATATATCATTTGTTAACGATGAGTTAGCAAAGAAAGCAGATATATCATTTGTTAACGATGAGTTAGCAAAGAAAGCAGATAAAACTTATGTTAACGAAATATACCAAAGTTTAGTTGGAACAAAAAATATTGAAACTATTGTTGGCGACTTTTCTGTCAATGAAGAAAACAAATATTTTAGATGGGGGTTTGTACAGTCCTTAAGAAATGGTATACGGTATAAACTCATTCCGAAAAATAACAATGAAATGTATGTAGGCTATATAAAGAATAATGGCACACAAGTTAAAGTTCCATTAGACAACAACTGCTACTTAAACTTATATGGAGACGAACAAAAGAAATATTTAAGAGTTTATGAAATGACAGATATGACATTGTCTAACGTAGCTCCAGCACCGTATTATTATGACTATGGTGTTGACGCACGTGTAGACCCAAAAAAGCAAACATTATATTTAGATTATTATAGATATAAAAGATATAATGCAATAGAAAAAACGAGAATAGTATACTATTATGAAGATGACAAAAATAAATATTATAGTCAAGATTTTACATACCCTGAAAACATAAGATTATATTATAAAAAATATTCTGACACAAACCAGAAGAAACCCGAAATAGTTACACTATATTTTAAGTTCAAAAGAGACAATCCTATAATATCTCATATGTTTGATTTAATGAACCCAGTAGGTTCTATTTATACATCTATGGATGTGAGAGGTCCTCAAGCAATGTTTGGTGTTGGTGCATGGGAACAAATAGTCGACAGGTTTTTGTATTGTGCAAACTCTTCAAAGGAAACAGGGGGAAGTAAAACGATTACAGGTGAAAATTTACCTGCACACAGTCACTACATAGATTTAAGCACATCTCAAGCAGGTTGGCATAAGCATAGATATTGGGATTGGTCAGGAATGACAAAAGGTAAAGGATATGATGTTAAAGACAACGTTAAATTTGCCATAAATTGTTACTGGAGTGACACTCAGGGAGAAGGAAACCATACACATCGCGTTTCAGGATATACACAAACAACGGGACAAAGTAAAGATTACATGCCACCATTTATGACTGTATTCGCATGGTATAGAGTTCAATGAACGCTCAATGTTTGTGAAACAAACTTTAGGAGCTCCAAAAGAGCAAACGACATAATTTAAATTTTTATTTTAGTATAAATGAAGATTCTACCATATGGTGTTATTGGAAGAGATAAAGATGGAAACCCAATATTTGATCCAAAGTTAAAATTAAAGTTACTGACAAGACAACAACTTGAAAAGTTGCTGAAACCAAAACAGGATGAGAAAATGAGAAAGAAAAAAATTTAAATTATGCAATTTTATTTTTATCATAAATGACCAAATTAATTAAGCCAACTATTTCTAAATTAATGATACCAATGAAATCATTTCGTGGAGTACTTATCCCAGGTTCTTCACAATTAGCCAGGGTAAGTGTTGGGACTCAAGGTGGAACATTAGTGAATCCATTCAAATTATTAACTAAAGATGAACTTAATAAAATGATGATAAAATAACTGATAACAAAATTTTATTTCACTACTACCATAAAAACAGGTGAAAAAACAGGTGAGATCTCACCTCTTCACCTAAATTATATTTTTGTTCAAAGCTTCCACGAGAGAAAAGATTCCTCATTCGCTAAGGATTCCAAAAATGAAAAAATCATTGATTTCGGCTGAGAAAAAACAGCAAAACCCTTCTTCCACGGGAACAAAGAAATAAAGAAGAAATAAAGAAGAAATAAAGTAAATTTTTTATTTATTCCCGTGGAAGATAGAGCACTTTTATGACACTTTTTATTCACGACAAACAAGACAAAACAAAAGAAAAATAAGAAAATACGGCGCCGTCGCGGTTCGAACCACAGACCTTGACCCCTCCATAACACCACCTTAGACCACTGTGCTACGTAGCCTGTCGACATAAGATTTTATAAATTGCATATTTGACGTAAATTTATTTCCCAGTTATTCAATAATTAATTATTTTTGAATAACCGAAGGTGCTACCATGCTACCATGTGCTACCATGCTACCATGTGCTACCAGGTCATTTAACTTCTCTGAAAAAGTGTGACAACACGACATTTTGACAACAGTTCAGGAGGAAGGTAGTTATTAATTATTTTTGAATAACCGAAGGTGCTACCATGCTACCATGTTGACAACACGACATTTTGACAACAGTTCAGGAGGAAGGTAGTTATTAATTATTTTTGAATAACCGAAGGTGCTACCATGCTACCATGTGCTACCAGGTCATTTAACTTCTCTGAAAAAGTGTGACAACACGACATTTTGACAACAACACAGGAAATAAACTTCTTCTTCGTAAATGTTTTTGTCATGAATTTTCCCGAAATAAACATATATTTTAGTTTTTTTAAAAAATATATTTTATTTTGTATGTAAAGACAGATGTACGCTGAACTTGTTGGTCAAGATGTATGGAAAGAATGTTTACAAGATGAAGAGTATGAAATTCACTGTTCTGAGCCTTTTGAAATAAGGAAGAAAGAAACCAAGAGAATTATACATGAATATAACAGAGGAATAGGTTATATTTGTGTAACATTAAACCTCAAAAAGTACCAAAAACATGTTCTCATAGCTACTCATTTTATTTCCAATCCGAACAATTTACCGTGTGTGGACCATATAAACCATCAAAGAGACGACAACAGAATCTCAAACCTTCGTTGGTGTTCTAGATCTGAAAACAATAGAAATAAAAGCAAGTATGGTGATATAGTTTATGAGTTCGTTGATGAAATATCTGACGAAGCAATTGAAATAAACTCTTATGGAAAGCATGACTTAGAGTTCTACTACTATGTTGAGAATGAGGACGCATTCTATTACTATACAGGAGTTAACTATAGAAAAATGCATGTTTGTTTCCTAAAATCAGGAATTGCATATGTTACTTTGACGGATACTGAAGGAAAGAAAGTTCAAGTTCGTTTAAACGTTTTCAAGAGGTTATATGATATTCAGTTTTGAACCATGAATTTTCATGAATTTCCTTAAGACAGAAAAATAAAGGTAGTTATGAATTATTTTTATTTTTTATTCCTATATAAATGACAGCAACAAACAACAACAGCAACTATATCGTTTCTGATGAAAAAGTTATTGATTCATTAGCTGAGGAATTAGTTGTGGCAGAAACTAAAACCCTCAACGAAAGAATTGGTGAAAACAGGATTGATTTACATAACTACCTCAAACATGATGGAGGAAAAGGAAGGAAAACTGGTATGGCTTTATTAGTAAATAAAATTTCAAATTTAACGATTATAGATGTTGATATCAATAAATCATACAATGATGAACTTAAAGAAACAGTTAGAAAAGACATTTTATCAAAACTTTCGGATAAAGATGTTATCGTTAAAACCGCTTCAGGAGGTCTTCACATTTATTGCAACACTAATTTCTTTTATTCAACCTCGAACAGAATGATTAAATGTTATTCCTGCAATGATTATGATATTGATATCATGACTTCTATGGATGATTCAAAGCGTTCTTTAGTGGTTATGGCTGATTCAAGAGTTCGCAAGAATGCAACAGAACCAATCAAAACATACTCATTCATTCGTGGAAGTTACGACTCGACCATAACTAGAACAGTGAATGATATATTAAATGATTTGAATATTAAGGTAAGAGTTGAACAGAAGAACGAAGAAATAAAGACTATCATGAATGAAAACAAAGATGTAAACATTGACGATAAACTTGCTCAGAGCATAGTTGATGGCATCTGTGATTTTGAAGTACATAATGACGGTGGAAACATGAATTTAGAAAAAGAAGTTACATTATTCACACTGTTTCAAGCTATTAATTCGTTACCGGATCATTTAATTAATGAAGCATACGATAACGTTTATAACTTCTGCAGTTTAACAGAAAATGCAAAAAGTAATTTTGAAAAAGCACGTAGTAGATATGCACATTTAATGACTTCTCCATTTGTTTTAGTGAAGATTCTAAAACTATATCAAAAGGAATATTATGATGAATATGTTTTACCTTTGTTACGTAAGCCAAAAATAACATTTGATATCAAACTTGATGACTCGTTTTTGATAACAGATATTAGACGCAAGGCTGAAAATCATCAGTATAAAAACAGTTCTGAAGTAATTGAGGATTTATCACGTGTAATCCGTTTTGTAGATTGTGGAAATAAATATTTCATTCAAAAGGACTATAATATCCACGACAAAATGAATCAAATATCATTTGTTCTTCAGTCAAACATGAAAGAGTCACTCAAAATGATTAAATTATTTAAAGAAGAAGGTAAAACCATAACAGCATGGGATGTACTACTAAATCAATTGTCTTCATTAACCGTTAAGGGTGTTTGCTTTAAATCTGATTCTCCAGATGTTTTCTCAACGTTTCAAGGTTATAAATACAACGTTCTCGAAAAACCAGATTACTCAAAAATTGAGATGTTTATGAATTTCATTAAAGAAGCCATTTGTGATAATAACGATGAAGTGTATAAATACCTTCTCGGCTGGATTGCATCAATGATTCAACATCCCGGAATCAAGAATGAAACAGCAATTATTTTGAAAGGACTTCAGGGAACAGGTAAAAACAGATTTACAGACATTATTTCTGAACTTCTCGCTGGTTATTCATGTAAAAACATTACCGAAATAAGTGAGCTAACGGGTAATTTCAATTCAGTAGTTGAAAATAAAATGTTTCTTGTACTTAATGAACTCAAGAATGTTGGTGAAGACAGACTCGCAAACTTCAACGCTTTGAAATCAATTATTACGGATAATGAGATTAGAATTAATGAAAAGAATCAACCCAGAAGAACAGCTCAGAACGTTGCAAACTTCATTTTCGTAACTAACAACGTCTACCCTGTCAAAATTGAAGTTGGAGACAGAAGATACGTAGTTTTAAGGGTTAATGGTAAATTCAAGGGTCAATTTGATTACTTCAAGAATTTAATGGATTCATGCACAAAGGAATTTTATGATAATTTACTAACATATTTTTTCAATTACGACCTTTCATCATTTAATGTACGAATCATACCGATGACTGAAGCCAAACAAGATTTAATTGAATTATCATCAAATCCTTTAGATGTATGGATAAATACACATTATGATGAATTGTGTGCAGGTATGACGTGTGAAAATGCTCTATTCTGCAAACCATCAGTCATGAAAGACAAAAACTTTCAAATGAGTATTAAGGATAAATGTGATAGGAAACATAGAAGAATAGACGGTAAACAAACATGGTATTATGTTTTGAAAGAAGAAATGAAAGGATTATATAAACAGGTTGAACCAAACGATAATGAGGAATCATTTACTGATGATGAAATACCTGTAAATGAGCCGCTAAGCGGCGAGACCTAAAGGTCTAGCTTTATAAAGTATGATTTGAATTTATTTTTGCATTAATCCTGCTGTGTTGTCAAAATGTCGTGTTGTCACACTTTTTCAGAGAAGTTAAATGACCTGGTAGCACATGGTAGCATGGTAGCACCTTCGGTTATTCAAAAATAATTAATAACTACCTTCCTCCTGTGTTGTTGTCAAAATGTCGTGTTGTCACACTTTTTCAGAGAAGTTAAATGACCTGGTAGCACATGGTAGCATGGTAGCACCTTCGGTTATTCAAAAATAATTAATAACTACCTTCCTCCTGAACTGTTGTCAAAATGTCATGACCTTCAGGTCTCGTCACACAGTGACTGTTGTCTCAAACTTTAGAACGGACTGAAAGTCCTGAGCTCCAAAAGAGCAAACGGCATAATTTAAATTTTTATTTTTATCATAAATGAATACCCCACAAGCTCAAAATTTACCACGAATCATAACAAGGGAGGAAATGATAAAAATGATGCAAGAACATGTTAAAAATAACAAACCACTAAAATTGAGAAAATGTGGTTATGCAGTAATGATGGAAAGAGAGATGTTGTCGAAGAGGAATAAAAATTAAATTTGGATAGAGTTTAAAAATTCATCTTTATTAAATTCATCTCTTCCAATCAATTTATTTATTCTATTAAATTCTTTTATTTTTGCTTCACTCAGTTTAAGGATTGAACGATAAGTTTCTAATTTTTCGATTATTTCTTTCCTCTCTTTATCGTTTTCAACCCCACCGCATTGCGACTTCTTTTTGTAATAGCATATTTTTGATTTAATTCTGTTTAGTTTCTTTTTATATTCATTGTCTGGACTCTTGGATGCTTCGTTGTCACTCATTTCTTACGAAATAAAAAAATTAAATATTATTTAAATATAATGGAGTAATAAAATAAATCGGAATTTCTATTAATTTATTGTCAACTTCAACTAATGCATTGCCGTTAATATATCTAACAAATTCAGCTATTGTGTCAAATCTTCGTCTTCTTTTTGTCATTAATTTATCAGTTTTTCCATAATCGAGATGAATCAAAACTTTATTTCCTTGTTTAAAATTCATGAGCCCTGAATTAATTTGTTCACGTTTAACATCATTCAACCTTTCCATTTGCTTTCTAATATATTCCCATTCTTTTGAAATATCATTTTTCATTTCCACTGGTTTCATGTTTATTGTTCTATGCCATGTATTATTGTAATAATATACTAACTGTTGTATGATGGAGTCATGATTTCCATCCCAGTATATCTGACCGTTAACCCCTAACGCATCTCTAAGAGTTCTCATTACCACATCAACTATTTTATTATGAAATGTATATGGAGAGGATGAGAAGTAAAAATTAATTTGTGGGAAATAATGAGTCATAGCTGCCTGAAATCCTTTATCACCATCACCCCTTATATTATCTACTCTTTCATGATCTAGTAAGTATTGAATAGCTCTTCTTGTTTCCTGTTCTGTTTTCCCTTTCACCGGAATGCAATATAAATATCTGGTGTTAATGTTAATGGCAAATAAATAAGTAACGTTTCCTCTTGAATATTCTAAATGATCGATTTCGTATGAATATGGATATGGTGCAAATGAAGGGCGACTAAATTTTTCCTTTAACGGTTGAATTTTTGGGTCAATTGGTTTATTTAATATTTTGAAATCCTTTTTAAAATCTTTTTGCTTCTTTAATGTTTGAAATGGATATAATAAAGTGAATGATGAAGGATTAACTGAAGGAGGAGGTGGTACTGTCGTTGGAGGTTTTGGTGTTGCAAGTGGTTTAATTTTATCTGCTTTGATTTTGGATGATGAAGTTTTGGAATTCATTCCTTCCTTCATTAATTCTGGATGTATTCTATTCATTTGTTTTAAATATGCTGTATATAAAGGTTTAATATACTTTCCCGCTTCGAGTTTATGTTGAAGGATGAATTCCAAAAGTTGATCTTCATTTAAAAGTCGGGCTGAATATGGTTTAACTAATGAATCATAAATTAAAGCTTGTGCATCATTTATGGTCTGAAGGACCTGGGTGTTTTGCACCTTTTGTTTTTGCTCCTTTTGCTTTTGCGGCTCAGGATTATATAATTTATATAATTCATCAATATCTTCTTCTGTTAATACTTTATTTTTGAAATCTTTCAACTGTTTAAGTTGTGATTTAGTTTTTTCCTTTGTATATTCATTATTTTAATTTTGTCTTTAATTTTAGAAATTATTTTATCATGATATTTCAAAACTGCATTTTTATAATATGGATAATAATATTCCATATCATCACCCGTTATATTTTTATTATTTTTGGAGATATGCTTTTAAATCGTAATAATCAAGAAAATTTTGATTAAGTACTAAATCATCAATCAAAATTTTTAAATCTACGCTATTCATTTATATAAAAATAAAATAAATGTTTTAAGGGTGCCCACCTCTTTGAATCATAGTATCAAAACCATCATTAACGGTTCCTTTTGTCTCTTCTGTGGCATTTTATTAAAAATAAAATTTTAAATTGTATTAAATAAATGGCATACAACATCCATTTTCACAACATACAGCCTTAGTGTGTGCTCCTGTTAATGCAGTCTTACCGATTGTTAAGCGAGTCATTGACCCGTTTTTAAGTTGTAAATTAATATTCTGACCATCAAATATCACTTTATCATTTATTATATCCAAATAATTTTTAGGTGTTAATTGTTTATTTTGTCGTAAACTAACACCCTTCATTTTTTGTGCAATCTTTTTAAAATCACTCCCATCAATTGAACCGTTGAATGAAGTATAACACTTAGGACATAAAGCAACCATGTTATCACCTTGTTTCTCAATTGCTAAACCCAATAACTTCTTCTCATGTGCTTTTTCTTCAGCTTTATTCTTTAATTTAGGTTTAAATTTCTCATTAAAACAAAAGAAATCAAAAGGTGCGAATTTGTAAATGTTTTTATCATAAAATTTTTTATCGGTTACAATTGCTTGAAATGCTTGAGTGTTAGGAAGATTTGGGTCGCCAGCAATAGCCCAATAAGATGAATCAGTATCACCTTCAATGAAATGAAAACGATTAACATCCATGCATTTATACATAAAATCATAAATGAAAACCAAATACCAGTATTTAGCACTATCTAAAGTGAAGAATGCCTCTTGTAAACATGTATCACATCTATAAAATCTATCTTTAAGCATCACTTGATACGTATCTTCACCTATTTCTCTTATGTTTTTAAACTTATTTGACATACATGCAACGCGTGCCTTCTGTGCATTCATTATTTTAGTCTTTGCGTAATTTTGTGTATTCATTGCATCGTAACCATATGATCCATTAAGTGAAATCTTGCAAAATAAACTTTTTCCTTTATTTCCTTCTAATTCAGCCTTTTGTCTTTCATTCATAAATTCGTTCGCAAATTCATTAAAACAAGTGTTTTTAGTAAATGTTAAAATTGATTGAATATCATCAATGATAAAATGAAATCTGTCTATTAGATACCAAAGATAATAAGAAGAAAATGGTTGATATTGGTTGTGTGTTGATGCTAACTGAGTTAATTTTCTCTGTTTCTGGTCAACTGGTAGATTGTTTGATTTCATGTAATTATACATAAAACTGCCAATTGTTTTTTCATCTGTGATAATATCTAAGTTTCTTATTATCGGTAAAAAGTTTATGTAATCATTAATGTATTTTTCATCAATGTGACCCTTTACTTCAGCCACGAATAAAGTATTTTTCTTCTTAATTATTCCCAATGCTTTTGCTTTCTTTGTTGCTGTATCACAAATGATAACACCATTCAATCTTCCCGGCATATACATTTTATGGTCAGTATATTGAATGAAATCATGAGGATTAGATGAAAATGATGAAGGATATAATGAATTAAAGTCAACACCAACGAAATGAGTCATAATGTTGGAAGTGTCCTCATTTGATACAGTTTTAGTTTCTGGATTATATGAAAGTTTATTAATGTGCGTGATTCCTTTAAGATTTACTCTATGTTGAACATTTGATAAACCACCAGTAATTCCATTACGGAGGATGTGATAAGCTTCAACTGAATCTAGAGTCATTGGTAAATTATTTTTAATGCATAATTTCTTAAATTGATTCTTAAACGTTGAACATCTTCATCTTTATTTGATTTTACGACATTGCAATAACAACACATTAACTGACAATTTTCTTTGGTATGTGGTTTTTTCATTATCGATTCTATCTAATGTTGGTTTATTAGCATATGTAAACGCTTTACCACACATTTTGCATTTAGATGAAAGGATTAAATCGTGATAGTATTGATAGTCATCCATTGAAACATTGTTTTTAGTATCCCTTTCTGCTTTTTCATCTTGTTTCTTATATGATTCAATTTTATATTTCCAATACTTTTTTCGTTAATTCAAAACTTGATTCCACATTTTCTTCTTCTGGATATGTTTCGTTAGGATTGAAGTTCTTATATGCTAACGCGTAACGAATCATTGATGCATTCGATGATAAAGAAAGATTATGAAGCATGTCAATTTTATAAACAAATGTTTCTTCAATAATTTTATCAATTGGGTCAATCATAATTTCAACGTCTTTATTGCAATAATGAATAAAATATTCTAATCTATTCTCAAAATTTTTAGCATCATTGAGATATATTTGATAATCTGAATCGGATATTGTTTCTTGAGTTAATGCTGAATAAAATGAATCTTGAGTGAATGGTTCCACTTTATATAATTCATCTTCGTAATTCTCCCATGTGATGAATTGATAAGGGAAAAAGGATTTAACACGTGATTTATTGTTTCCGAAATCTTGAGTGAATTGGTCTAATGTTCCACCCGCTATATAATTTCTGATGTCAATAAATCTTAATTCATATGGACAGTTTGTTTTCTTTACAATGATTTGCTTAAATTGAGAAGAAGAACCCAGCATTGATTTTATTTTCCATTTTGCAGTGTTTAAATCACGAAGAATTAAATTTAAATCAAACTTTCCCGAATTAAAACCTATGATATTCACTTTATTGAATTCCTCATCTAGAAGTTCTTTAAATGCTTCCTTCTGTTTTTCATTTAATGTATGGGACAAAGTCCCCGCCGTTTGGTCCGTTTGCGGCTTCATTAATTCTTCATATTGTTCAATATTTGATTTAGCAACTAATGAACAGGTTGAAAATAAAAATTCAATCCAATCAGAGATGAACGAATCACTTGATGTTAAGCAAAAATTCCTCGTAAATGTTTTATCACGGTCTACGACCTCGCCGCTTCGGTCTGAAAGACCTTCAGGACTCAAAGAGTCCGTTTGCGGCTTTATTTTGACAGTTGATGATACCATAAATGGTTTTAAGTAAGCGTTCAAAGTTGCACATTCAGAAAGTTGAAGTTCTTCTTTAGTCTCTAATGTTTCGAAGTCAAAAGTAATATAATATCTTGTTGGTTTATAATATTCCTGCAAATTGTGAGCTAATAGCCATTGATATATCTTCTGTTTCGTGATATGTGGTGCATATGGTTGTTGTGTGTTTTGCAATTGAACGTCTTGAATTAATCTTCCATTATTTTCTTTACATTTCTCACAATGTTTTAAAAATCTTCTTTGGTTTTTCCTTTCTGGTCATCACGGATAGAATAAACTTCTTCTTTGCAAAAGGGGCAAACTTTATAGCCGGTGAGTGCTTCAACGTCTGTTATTCTGTCAGCGTGAAGTTTTCCACATGGACTCTGTGTTAATAAAATATTTACTGTTTCAAATTCTGGATCTATCATTATTGATTCCACTAATGGAAAGTCTACCTTATTTATGTCTACGTCTTCTGGTTGAGGGTCACAATAATAAAAATCAATATTAACGTTTAACATTCTTGCTAACCTCTCACTTTCTGATGAAATGTCAAATCCTTCATATGCATCTATGGCTTCATTTAAATAACTTCTACGAGTTTTAGGATTAACACCATCAGGAATGTTATAGAAGCGTTTAAATAACCTTCTACCTTCGGCTCTTATTTGATTATCATTCATTTTAGCTGTTCCGTTTTTGTTCATTTATGTAAGAATAAAAAATTAAAAAATAAATAAAAATAAAGTTTATTTTTTTAAAGTCCAGGGCTAAAGTCCATAAAATGAATTAAGAACACATAAATTTTTATCATCTGCGACGTGACGAATACATTTTAATTTACTCAAGAATGCGTACCCTGATACATTAAATCTAATTCCTGTCTTATTTAATTTCACAACTTTGAAAAGGAATGTATGAATAGCTATAAAATGATGAGATGATGTTTTATGGGTTTGCTTCCATTTTTTCTGAAATAAATGAATAAATATAATGTTTATAAGTTTTCATATCTTTTATATTCTTAATAACGAATGGTATAGACCTTTCAACTTCGTCTTCCTTCGGTGCTGTTCTTTCATATGAAACATTATTAGTATCTTCAATAATGAAACCACAATCGCATAAAATTTTATATGTACCAATTGTTTCTTTTGATATTTTTATCTAACAAATCAAAACTTTATCAACACCTGTACATTTATTTAAATAATAATTTGTGTAAATATCATGGTCTTCTTTCTTAATCGTATTTGTTGCATATGTTACATTTTTCAGTGCTTTTTTGAATTTTTCAGAATCAAGAGGAGGTGAAAGTAATATACATGGATAATCTCCATCGTCAATAAATTGTAACTTATGTTTATGAATAAATTTTGTACCTTCTTCTGAAAGTGTTTCATCTATTTCACCATCTAATAAATTTTTAGTAGATTCCAAAAAGTAATTTTTATATCTTTCTTCATGAGATTTTTGAACTTCTGATTCTGAAGCTGGATATTCATTAAACCCTCTACTTCATTCTCATTATATTTTTCAACTTCTCTTAATTCCTTAATTTTTTCATCTATTTCATCTCTTATTTTTTCCAGTCTTTCAATTTCATCATATTCATCATCTTTAATCCGTTCTTCATAATATTCAGGGAAAACATCAGGTTCTTTAGGTTTTTCTTCTTCAGATGTGGGATATAAGAAATTTATAACATCATCTTTATTCATTTTTCCATCATAATCTAAATCATTTAATAACTCCGCGAATTTTTGACAATTTCTTAAATAATATTTATTAACTTCATAACTCGCCTCCTCTAATATATCCTTTATTTCCTCGTTTGTGAATCCTAATTTTTTAACGTCGTTAGTCTTGACACTCATTTTCATACGAATTAAAAAAATAAATTATTCAAAAAATGTAAGACATGAATTTTTAAAGTTTATTTTTTTATTTTTTTTATTTCATTATGGTAGTGAATCTTTCATTCATGAATGATAATTATATCTGATTTCTTTTACTCTCTCATACATACTAGATTTGAAGAATTCAGAACATTTCCCATAATCTCCTAAATGTTTTCTTATCCCTAACGTGTGCCAGTTATTATATGAAACTGTATAAACTTTATCTTTATCTTTACACCTTTCATCACTTCCAATATATTTATATCTCAGTTTTGATTTAGCATTTTCATATTCATTAGCGTTTAATAATTCGCAGTCTTCCTTTTTAAATTGATGTTTAAGATATTCAGGATTTAATACTCTACGTTTATATGCTCCTAACTTAGTTCTAAAGGTTTTTCTACAAAATTTAGGAATTCCATCCTCTTTAATGTCATCAATGATTTCCATTTCATTATTTTCAATTTCTTCTTCCCGTTTATGAGGTCTTTGATTATGACTCCATTGATTCCATGAAATTAAATATTCTTTATCATTATATTTATACCTCATTAGCTTATTTTGGCTTTCATATTCATTTAATAATTCACAATCTTCATTTTTAAATTGAAGTTTAACCCATTCAGGATTTAAACAATGTTTAATTAATCGCGGAATATCTGACATCATCTATATATAGTTTCTTTTATAAAAGATAAAAAAATAAATTATTTTAAAATTAGTGTTAATTTTTTAATGATTTATAAATAAATATATTTTAATGCATCGTCTATATATAGATGAAACAAAAAAAGTCACTAAACCCGCACTCATCTACTACTGAAATAATTGGAATTTAACACCTAGTTTTAGCAGCATCATTCTCTTTTTGCTCTCATTTAAATGCTTTTGCACACTTTAATTTTGAAATATAAGAGTTTTGGAAATTATCAAATTTATCTGCTCAAATACTATAGATCTTCATAAGTGTTAATAGAATCACCAGCCTTACATATAGTGTTTAATATAATGATGCACATCATACTGGGATTTATTCCTTATTCATCTAGTTATTATAAGATTTACAACCCCATGAAAATTTAAAATTTTGTCAAAAATAGTGAATGTACCTTTCATTTTTCAAAAAATGAATCTAATGTGGAACATAAGAAATCTGATTTTTCTGCAGTTAATTTTGAATATTAACTATTGGGGTTTAATTTCTTTCAATCATGGAAAAATGCAAATTTCAGAAGAACAAAACCAAAAAATTTACTAGTTAGGGAGCTATAGTAATGAATTTTTGATAGTACAATTTCGATTTGATTTTATATACTTAATGTTGAAGTAGGATCAATATCCAAAGAAAGAGAGAGAGAGAAATCACGACGAAATGAAATAAAAATTATTTAAGGGTGCGCCCGGGAGGATCATGTAAACTTCAGAATTTAGAACCTTAATTTTTAAGCAATTACTTGGTACCTAAAAATATCAAAAAGTACAACTTGGCTCCATAATAATCCTGTCATGGTGGCAGTTTGTATTCCCTAGTATTTTCCTCTTGAATCTCTTTTTCTGTCGAAATTAAATTCAAATCTCAGAAGTAGAAGTGAATAATCGACTTATTGCTGCTATTATACGAATAAACAAATCCATTATATTATTTTTATTTACATAATATCTGTTTGAAGTTCATAATTCTATAAATTTTTCTTCAAAAACATTACAATCTTGATAGTTTTGATACTGTTTAATAGGTTTTTGGCACCTTATTTAGTAATTACAACGTATCGAGTCGATCTGAACTTAATTTTCGGAAATTTAAAATATTTATCATAAGTAAAATCTGATTTGAAATTTATGTTTAATTACTATATTTTGCATAATCCTAAGTAGCTTTTGTAAAAATTCATCAAAAAAAATTTTAACGTGCTTTAATTTTTTATTTTTTAAAATAATACATATTATTATATAACTAGAATATTTACAAATTTTACTGCTTTCAAAAATTTAATCCTCCTCCTCTCAAATAAACGTACATCCAGGGGGCCTGTTTTTTGCAAAAAATAAAATTTCATTTTTTTATGCTTAAAAAGTCAGAATTTTTATTTGCTTCTGGGATATATGATGACTATATCAGACGCCCATTCTTTTTGATACTCAACATTAAACATAAAACTTAGCCGTTAAGGCTCTTCTGAAAATACTTTGTTTTTCGAAAAATTTGCGAAAAAAATCAAAAAATTAAAAAATCCCCGAATCTGCAGGGATTTTAAAAAATTCTTTTTAGTAAAACTTAAGGATATTGTATCAGATATATTGGTATGGGCAAATTCAATTATAATACAATATTCATCGAGATATTGCGCTAACGAAGCGTTCAAAATTGAGAGGGTAATCCTCCTACTCTCAAATAAACGTACATGCGGGTGCACCCTTAATTATGAGAAAATGAATAAAAATTGTTTACTGAATGACGTTCTTAACCAATTCAAGGATAAGAGGAGCCAAAACGTTATCCTGCATTCTGATACCAGCCTGAACTCTTCCACCATCATTGAAAGACAAGAAAACAACCAATTCGACACCTTTAGATGTCTTTCCTGAGAAGTAAGCTGTGTTATCTTTCTTTGCGTTGAAATACAATCTCTTTGAGTTGAACTGGTTCTTTGCAACAGGGATTGAGTCGACTCTTGCGTTCTCGACATTTGTTGTGAGTTCTGTTGATGGAGGAAGTGATTGCCAGAACTTGACGAACTCTTCTCTTGAGAACTTTCCACCTTCCTGGTCTGTAACCAAGATTGTTTCGAGTTTCATTGGAACGTGGAAGATGATTGGAGAAGGAGCGTTTGTGAGAATGGCAACATCTAAGTTTGATGATGTCTGCGCTCCCTGTGCGTAATTTGCATCGTATGTGATTGCAACAGTGACAGAAATTGATTTCTGTGATGGCAAATCCTTCGGGAATCCGGATTTCTCTGGTGCGTAACCGAAGATGTTCTTGTTGAACGCGATATCCTTGATTTGGTCAGCGTTCTCGTTGTAGTTTGTGATTCTCATAGCGATCTGGCTGTCCTTTCCGATCTGTACCAAAGCGGCTCTGACTTCGAGGGAATTCGATGACTTTCCATCGACAACAACTGGGAGATCCATTCCTTCTGCAAGTCCGCCTTCTCCTCCAAGGCTGGCGAGACTCATGATCTTTACGTTGTCGACGAATTCCTGTGGCTTCTTGTTGTACAAAACTGACAATGTTCCAACCAAAGGAATGAGAGATTTGACGAGATCTGCATCGCATGAGTAAAGCTCTGTCTTGATGAGAGGCTTCTGCTCTGGCATGATGACTTGCTGTGCGTAATCTGGGCACTCAGAAATGAGCCAGTAGTACTGGAACGCTCTGTCTCTGATTGATGGGTTGTCTACTTGCGATGTAGCCATTGTAATGACCTGCTGGAACATGTCTTGTCCGTCTTCCTGGTTGACTAAGAAGTACTTGAATACGGCTGTGAGAATGGCAAGTTGTACATCAGGTGTGTCTTCAAGGAAGTCATCAAGGAAGTGTGCATCCAAGAGATCGCCTGCGTTGCCAATTCTGTCGGCGTATTCGCCAATGATCCAGACCATGGCGGCCTTTGCGCGGTGGTCGTCGAGCTTGGCACCAAGAGCACCGCAGATGTTGGCGAGAATGCCGAGGTACTGGTTTGGATATCTCCTGAAAATGTCGGCGGCAACGACGATGCATTCTTGGACAACAAATTCGATCTTGTTGTCAACGAGAGCAACGATCTTGTCGACACAGGATGAGGCGGCAGCTTCGAATGTAATGGCGATTTTGCCGATTGCTGCAATAGATTTGCGGACGAAATCAACATCAGCTTGTTGAGCGTAATCGAAGAGTTCTTCAAGTACTTTACCGACGTTTTGAGCACTGCAGAGTGTAAGGATGACATCGAGCTTGGCTAATTTGATGTAAGATGGATCATCGAACTTGCAGAAGAAGATGGAGACCTCGGATGAGAAGAGACGTCTGTAGTGTTGAAGAAGAATGAGAATTGACTTAATGGCAGCGTACTGAACTGGAGCTGTGTTATTGAGTAAAGTAACAAGTGGAAGGGCAACTCTTGTGAGGGTTTCTCTGACCTTAGATGGGTCATCGATGTAAAGGTTCATCTGCAAGCAGCAGCGAATGGCAGAAAGAATGACAGCTGCATTTGCATGTGATAATCTTGTAGAAACACGAGAGATAATGCCACGAGCATCATTGGCATTATCTGGTCTGAAGTTGCATGTGTAATCTAAGATCTGAACTTGAGCCCATTCTGTTGTTTGATCGATTGATGCGAGTAAGTTGTTGATTGTTGAGAAAGATGGCTCGAAAAGTGGCTGGTCGCGGCTTTGATTGATTTCTAAGAGTGCGGAAATAGCGTTAGCTGCTACGTTGGGGTTAGAATCCTCAACTAATCTCTTTAATTGAGCGCCAAGTTTGAATTTGTCAATGAATGAAGCACGCGCCTGGTGGATAGATAAAATAGAAAGAGCAGCCGATTTTCTAACATATGGATCATCAGAAGAGCAAGCTCTCATTACAATTGGAATTAAGCGATCGATATTTGCTTCATTGATGAGGCGGCCGATTTGGCGAACGACAACACCCTTCATTTGTGGATCTGGCTTCTCGAACTCACTCATTAACAGTTGAACTGTAATATCTGCAAGTTGTGGCTGAACTTCGACATAGCGTTCTGCGTATATGCCTATGAAACGACGAACTTTGATTTCTTGTTTCGGATCAGATGTTCTGTAGCCTGAAATGTTGGGAAAAGCTGATCTGCATTCAACGTTTTGTGCTTCAAGAGCTACAAGTCTCTGAAATGCAAAATCACGGTCTTTTTGTTCAGGAGAGGCTAGTTTCATTGTCATCTCCTGAATTTCGCCTGCTTGCTGCATGCGTGACATTTTTTTATATTATTTTGTCACTTTTGAAATTATTTTTATATTTTTATCAATTCTCTCTACCGGCGTGCGGCGCCGATAAAAACAAAAATCATCTTAGCCAAAGGATAAAGATAAACATTCTTAAGCTTGCCGGACAGGTGTATACTGATGGCTAAATTTCGAGAAAAATTGAAATCCTGATTTTTGAGTTGTAATATTTGTAACTATACATGGCACGATGGAGGTAAAATATATGGCCCTACTGTGGCCCATAGTTCCTGCGGAGAGCTCCATTGGAGGAGGCCACAAAAATTGTAATTAAAATTGTGTTAGAGAACAATTTTTCCCCCCAAACAGGGACCCTAATTAGATAGTAAAAATAAGGTCAAGGTCACTCTTCAGTGAACAGCGTTTTTTGTATTTCGACGTTATTTCCCCTCAATTTTTTGAGTACTTGGAAAATTTATAGATTGAAACAAACCCTCTAAACTAATAGATCGACATTATATAATGGACTTCCTTTTGCTACCCTATTGTATTACTGCCACAATAGTTTTTTTAACCGCTTATGCTTCAAAAAAATTTTTCTTCACGATGATATGCAATATTAATAATAAAAAATTTGTTAGTTCATTCCTTTCACAGGAACCAATGATATCTTATTTTGTAAAGGCGAGAACCATTGATTGGGAGGGACATTATTCTGACAAATATTGTGAAAGGTATAATTTTAACTATGGATCATGGCAAACCGGCACATTACATATTTCACATAAAGAAAGGGAAACAATTATTTATCAATTGAAGGAAAAATATATATTAAATGATATAGCAAAAGAATGTTTTGATGAATTTTATCAAGAAATTCAATATAAAGCTCATAGATTTTATAATTTTATTGAACTTGTTGAAGACAAACCTAATACACTAATAGTTTGCTTTAACAAAAAAAATTCAAAAATAATTATTTTTTTGGCAAGCAAAATGGGTCAATATTTCTATATATTCTTAAGATTATTCAGATTACATCTAATATTGGAAAATATGTTCTTTAAAGAAGTTGATAGAAATATCGAAATTACAATTGAAAAATTTATCTCATTAGATCCAGAAGAGTTTAAATATAAATACAAGGAAGATTATCTTATTATTACAAGATTAAACCCTAGATCTGAAAGGATTGATATGATTGGGTTGGATGTAATATCTTTATTTTTTTTAATAATTATTGAAACGTTTATATATAACCTTTTGAAATGAATATTATTGAGGTTATAGGTGAGGTCATGTTAATTCTGTGGCTTAGTCACACCTCTTAGGCCAGCTACTACCCGTAAATAATCGGCAGTTTGAAGGACTTTGACAATTATTTTGAAATAATTTTTTTTATTGTTGTTAATGGTGCCGGAAAGTGAGGTGACACCTCATAACTTCATTTGTAGTAAAGATATTAATGATATTGAAATATATTTGTATATATTAGTAGGGTATATAATAAAGTTATTATTTCTTTGAAATTGATTCTCGGATACTTCCAGTATACAGAAAACTGGTTCGCATTTTTCCAACTTGCATACCTATCTAGTCCATGGTTTGTTCATGGCAGAGACTGATACTCCAAGAATGATATCTAGGTACAAGATTCTAGATATTTTAAAAAAACATTTGGCATTTGTTAAAAATTAGGTAACATCAAAACAAAGACTAAATTCACTGCCATCTCACTGATCATTGGGAAACCAACCTAATGGTAGCGGCATTCACATTAAACAGGATTTAACAAGTGAATGGAAGTTCAACTTTCAAAATAGTTTAAATGAAATTATTTCATGAATATCAAGTCATATTCGAAGGAACTACAGTTGGGCAATTAAAAAAGACACTTTTAAAAAAGTGACAATGGGATGACTGAGTATTCAGTGCGCGATGTACCACGTCAAGCTTTTGTTCAGTTTCTAGCTATCCATCTTTACAGGAATAAGTTACTTGAATGTCCTGTTATGTCTCATAACCCTGCCAACGCCAGTAAATTCGCAAATTTTCAAAAATGGTGGTTCCTTGAAGCTGGTAAACTTATTGTTCAATGGTACGAAGCGCCTTCAATGCCTCCCGTTCAGCATCGTAAGCCAAATATGACAAAGCAAGAAAGAGATGCATTCTTTAAGAATTATTCCATCGTTGAATTAATAAATCAATACGTGCAACTCGGTTGGGTCATTCAGGATAAAACAGGGATCATGTTCGTTACCGATCTTGGGAAAGATCAGCTCAATAAGATTGTTCGAGAATTTAAAGTTAAGCAAGATGCCAAAAAAGATGCGCAACCATGACTATCTTACCTTCGTAAAACAATACACTATCAAAAATTTACAGCTGAAAAAGCTAATTTTTTCCAATTTTTTTCTCAGTCATTCATATCGAAGTTATGATATTTTTATCTGTCTTATATTATAAAAAACAATTTGAGCGGAAGATTTTGAGAATTTTTCTAGAAAAACGATTACAAACTTGAAAATTGTCAAACAATGACTTAAAAATCAATATAAATATTGATTCTCTATTTATTTTATTCAAAGAGAAAAGAATTATGACATGGGTATTTATAAATTTGTCAACAAAAAAAAGAGCGAAAATTAAATTTCTGAGGCTCTGTTTGCCAGAAAATATACATTTGTAAACTTTCTGATACTAAATGATGCTTATATAGAGTATATGCATACATCAATTTGCCTAATTTCATGAAAATCACATCCAGTTTCATTGTTTAATTGCCCAATTCTTGACATATTTTGTAAAAATTTTGGCTGTGGCACTTTTTTGACATCATTGAAATGAATGTCTATTTCTGAGGATTACAAATCAGTTGATTTACCATTTTCTCCTAGAAAGTTTTTGGAAATATCTCATAAAGGCGAAGAACCAACAAAATTTGAAGAAGGAAATCTGTTAGAGTTAATTTCTCAAGTTGATGAAACAGATGAGTCACTAGAGAAGCCATTATTGTATTTGAAAATGTATGTTGAGTGTGCGTATAGTGGTGACAGCACTCAGAAATACGAAATTTCCGAAATTATTGACAGAAATGATCTCCTCTTTTTCTTATTAGATCATATTCAAACTTCAAGTGACAAAATGTTCATGCATATCATTGATATACTTGTTTTAATGTATTTAATAGGTAATTTAGATTTCGATATTTTATCGGAGGAAAAAAGAAAATTGCTATTTGATATCATACTTGAAAGGTCAATTGCATATTTATACAATAGTTTTTATCTTTTAGCTGCCATTATTTCGAAAAATAATTTCGAATTTGATGAAAATTCCATTATGAATTTAGCATATCAAGAGAGATTAGATGATATTGTATGGTTCTTGGTTGAAAGCTTTAAAACAAATCCTCGAAATTTCAAAGAATTTGAACAATTTTTTATCCAAATGCTTGAAACAAACAGATATCCATCATTATATGGAATTTTCTTCTGTACACTTTATGATCTTCAATTTACCAATGAAATTGCCACATTAAACATCTTTGACGAGTTTGTAAATGATGAAAATGACGAATGCCACGAAATCCTGAATTCTCTCATAAAAATAGTTATATACGGATCAAATGATGATAGTTTCAATTTTTTTATGACAAAATTCCATCAAATTGATGTAGATCTTAAAATTAAGTACTATTTAGTTAAACACTGTCCGAGTAGAGCTAGAAAGATCATAACTGATGAAGAAATTGAAATGATTAAAGAATTATCTGTTGATGGAAAGTTTGATGATAAACAATACGCAATTAAACTTCTGATCAAGTTAGTAGAGTATAGCATTGTAGATTGCATCAGTGTTTTACCTATTTTCAATGAGATTTTTCATTATTATGAAAATTATCAAGTTTTAGAAAGAATTATAAATTTAGTAACTGACAAATTAAGGCAAACTTATGGTTCAGAAGAAATCAGCCAATCTCTGACTTTCTTTGGCAATATCGAAGAGTGTTTTGATGATATTATCGAAGATGCTGATGATTCATTAATAGAAAGTATAGAAGAACTTGATAAAGCAATTAATGATATTAAACTTGAACAAAGTTTATAAATAAAAGAATTTCTTTTTGTTTTGTTTAAGGCGCGGTTCAATTTTAACGACATTTTTTAACGCGATACGAGCGTAAGTCCATAGAATGTGTTTTGAGGGAAACTATAAAAATCCAAAATAGAGGTAAGTGCGCCATTATTACCTGCGAAGTTACATGGAATAAATCGAAGAGTAAGTACAAGATGATCTTGCATCTTTCCAAGTAAATGAAATTTATTAAAATTAAGATGATAATATTCATTTATAGTATGTGTATGATGTTTTTTCAAAATTTCTTCAAATAAAATGCAATGATAATTTTTGAATAATTTTTTTCTTGTGTATATTTCATTTTTTATTAGTGAAAATATCATTACATCAATAAGGAAAGCACAATCCAAATTCATATTAGTTAAATTAATATACGACCAAAAGTGCTTACTCTTAAACAACCGTCGGATTTCCGGGTGAAATCGTGACACACTTTCGTCTTTCGTAGGCAGTGGTGGTTGTTACAAAAGGTAACTTCGAATGTAGCGTGAAATCTGCAAAAAAAATTCTGAAATTTGAATGGAGAACACAAAAATTGAATAGTTTACGTCAATAAAAAAGAGAAAAATGAAGCCAATGTGTCTCGAACCTAGGACTTAGAGCAGCAATCCCATTGTTTATCCCATTACACTAGATGCGTCTCTCACCTCAGTGAATGAGATCAACTATAGCAACTTGTGGAAAAGTGACAAATAGCAACTTTGACCCTCTCTCTGCATTTTATTTGAAGAAATTTTGAAAAAACATCATACACATACTATAAATGAATATTATCATCTTAATTTTAATAAATTTCATTTACTTGGAAAGATGCAAGATCATCTTGTACTTACTCTTCGATTTATTCCATGTAACTTCGCAGGTAATAATGGCGCACTTACCTCTATTTTGGATTTTTATAGTTTCCCTCAAAACACATTCTATGGACTTACGCTCGTATCGCGTTAAAAAATGTCGTTAAAATTGCCCACACGCTTTGTTTAACCATGGCAGAATCTTTCATTATTGCATTTAAATTAATATTAAAACTCGCATATCATGCAATGAATTGAAGTAATATTCGCATTTATGACTTACAATTAGTATTTTCAATTCTCGTTGATTACGATGTTTAAAATTGAGTTAAGAGGGCAAATACAACTTTTTTACATGCTCACATTATATCAATTTATTTTTGTGCATTACAGCCATATGAAGTACTATATGATAATTTATAATAACTTTTTCCCGACCAAAAATTTTAACTTTTTATCATAGAAAAATGGAATATAAATCTTGTGTGTCAAAAAATTGAGAGGATGTCAGAATGCGGTATGTGTAACTTCCTGAGCTAATATGATTGAAGTCCTTATTAAACATTGCATTGCGAATATGAATACATTTGGAAAACAGGAGATGTCATTCATCATCAAAGATGATATATTTCAATATGAATATACAATTCTCCAAAGTTATATGATATAATTTCAGAAAGCAAATTTGCTCTATGAATGATTCTGTGATACAAAAAGTTAGTTTACCAACTCAAATACAACTTATGCTCCTATATAAGAGACTTCAGCTCTCAAATAATTTTCTAATTATTTTTTTTTTGTATAACAAAAAAAATTTATAATAAACAAAATAAAAATAAGTTATTTCTGTTCAGGTCTAATGAAGTCAGCACCAGAGTTTTTGAACTGCAAACCATCGTAGTCCATTCTGAAGCACAATTCGTTCAAAACGTTTCTGACTTTCATTTTTCCTCTTTTTTGAATTACCAAATTCTTAAACGTTTCTTGGTGTGCGTTTATATCATTTCTGTCTATCTTCTGGACGCAGTTCTTATTCTTCACGTACACTCTCACTGTCTTGCTCTGTTTAAGACATTTCGGTAAATATCCCTTTATCGTCACTGTCACTTTTTCATCATCAGAATTCAATTTACATCTGAAATGACCTAAACCAGAAACCGCTGCCAAACACATTGCTCTGTAAACAATTTTATCAGAGACTTGTGTTGCCTCAACAATTTCCAGCGAAGGAGTATTCATTGCCACTGACTGTGCGGCTTTCATGAAACTCATCAAACACTTTCTTATTGAATCCAAATTTGGCAGAGGACTTTGCGAAGGAATTTCAAAATTGGATTCAAGAGAATTGACGTGTTTTTGATTGGAATAATAGTTAGGGATCAATTCTATCAATGTTTCCTTGACAACGGAAGAATTAACATTAGCAATGTTATTGTTTGATATATAGCCAAGCATTGCAGCAACTTTAATTCCTTGTGGTTTGATGATGTTTTTTATTTCTTCAGAATTTTCTGAACTGGAATTGTTCGTTATTAAAAATGATTCCCTTAAAATAAATGAAACAGTTTCAGTGAGTTGCCAGTAATAAAACAACATCTTATAAAGAGGTATTGTCATGTAATGTGTTTCCAAGTCATCACCATCACAAGATGTCGGAATAAGACTAAAAACAGTATTAGAATTCGATTTTTCTTGGAAACCGAGAAAAACCATTAAAAATCTCGAAATCAATGTCGGAGCAACATCTGCTTGCATGTGTTGCATGGAGAACCTGCAGCATCTGTTAATAATCTCGTTGACAACTGTTACGTGCTCGAGATCAAAAGAAAATGTCCTTTCTTTCCCTTCTTTCAATGTTTCGAAAGGATCTTCTTCTTTCACGGAAACATTAGTTTGATGTGTCTGATTCACTGGCTCGTTCTTCTTATCAAGGGATTTCTTGATGTTCCGCTTGTTGAATTCATGGTATTCTGGCTCTTTTTGTCTCCGAAATTCACTCAAATCGTTCATTTTCTCGGAAGTTCTTTCGATGACTGTATCCAGCATTTTCACGGGATTTTGCGTCATCGCGAAGAGAACGGAATCGAGATTCGTAGGGCCGTAGATGTCTTCAAGGGTGAGGAAGTCAAGAGGAGTAAGGTTGCACTGTGGAAATGATGATGTATCGATTTTAATGCGTGGATCTAAAATTGCGGTTTTTAATGAGGTTAATCTAAGAATTGATGACCTCATTCTGGTGATTGCTACATCCATTTGGACACGCTCGTCTTCATTGTCGTAGATGCGGTCTTCGTATTGGTTCTTTTGGACAAATTTGAAATTGCAATCTAATCCAGCGGCGGAAATGGCCCAGCGATCATTGCAAGCGCAGTATTCGCTGACTCTACGACCACTGCAGGTGCAATCAACCTTCTCTGGAGGTAGTAATCCGTATGATCCGATCTTTTTTCGTCCGATTGGGTTAAATGGCTGCCAAATGTCACTTGGATATGTACAAACGACTTCAGAATCGACAATTTTTTGATGTGTAATAGCGGATGGGTTTAAATCTGCTTGAGAAGGTGGAATATCAGTTTTCAAATATGGAGGAATGTATGAAAGTTTGACACAGCCATCGTAGATGAGTTGCATAAAGTGGTTTGTCTGTGAAATTGGCTTGAATAGTTCCCATAAAAGCCAAAATGGACCTGATGTAGGTTTTACATGTTCTAAAAAGACAAATGCGTCTAATAAGTTGCCACGACGAAGCATTACATCACGAATTCTTAGTAGAAATTGCTTCAATGCATTTGGCCATAATTCGTATTCAATTGCTGTGATTAAATATGGATCATCAGTTAAACAACCAGAACGGGATAATGGTGGTGGTATTTCTTCGACGATGGCAGCAAATTTTTGAGTTAAAGCAGCATGAGATCGTAATAATGAAAAAACTATTGTTAAACAAGTGGATCTTGGTATTTTTTTCTCAGCATATAAGCATAATGTTCTAAGGATTGCATCACTTCGTTGTTTGTTTTTTAATTGTAATTGGATATCTGAGATAAAAGATAATAGTGAAGAATCCATTTGACAAAAAAAATCTCTTTTATCGGTGTATTATTCCCAGAAAATAATCAAAATTAGTTTTCGAACTCTATTTCGCAATAATGATACACATCATACTGGGATCCATGCCTTATTCATCTAGTTATTATAAGATTTACAGCCCCATGAAAATTACAAATTTTCGCGTGACTTTTTTGTAAATTGAGCGAAGCTCAATTTACATAAAAAGTCAGCGCGAAAATTTTGATTCTTTTTAGAGAAGGGAAAAAAGAATTTTCACGTTACGTTTTTTCCTCTCAAATAAAATTTAATTAAAAAAGCTAAATTTTATAATTTAACAGCATCTAAAGACTCGAAACAAATTTGCCGATCTCACAATTTTTTCAAAAGTTTATTTTTACTTTTTCATGGCAGCCTAACTCAACAAACTTTTTCACCGGAAGAAATTCGTTGATCTTTGTAGAAACGAGACTAATCTGGCCAAATGATAGAGTCCCCTATTCTTCATCTATTTCGAGATTTTACAGATGATTTATATCCATTTTCACAATTTTCCTATTTCCGAGCCCTCCTACCCTACCAAACCCATTTCAAAGAAGAAAATGCTGAAGCCCGCTAGGGCTTCAGCTTGTTCATCCCGAATGAGCCAAATTTCAATCATCAAAAAAGAAAAGTTCCTTATTAATAAAAAACTTAAGCGGCATCGAGGATGCAGATGCTGTTAAATATCAAAATTAGCTTTTTTAAAATTAAATTTTTTGAGAGGGAGAAAAGTGACGCGAAAATCTTTTTCCCTTCTCAAAAAGAATTTAAAATTTTGTCAAAAATAGTGAATGTACCTTTTTCGTATATATAAGCATCAATTATATGGACTAATAAATAGTCGGGAAGATGGACTTGGACGATTATTTCCAATTTTGACAAAATGTTATCTTTGTTACTTTTTTTAAGGGTGCACCCGTATGTACGTTTATTTGAGAGGAGGAGGATTACCCTCTCAATTTTGAGGGATTCGTTAGTTTATTTTCTCGATGAATATGCAATAAAATTTGATTTTTACCTTATCAATATACTTCATATAATATATACATGTTCATGTAAAAACTTTTTTCCAAAATCCTCAGGAATTAAGGGATTTTTGAATTTTAAAAATTTTTTTCGAATTTTTTCGAAAAAAAAAATATTTTCAGAACAGCCTTAACGGTTAGATTTAGGAACAATGTTAAGTATCAAAAATAAAGGAGGTCTGATATAGACAACATATATCGTTGAAGGTTGAAAAAATCTCTAATATTTGAGCCCAAAATTTCAAATTTTAATTTTTTGAAAAAAGAGGCCACCCGTATGTACGTTTATTTGAGAGGAGGAGGATTATATTTTTGAAAGGGTGAAACATTATGAATATGTTAATTATATAATAATATGTATTATTATAAAAAAGAAAAAATAAAGCACGTTAAAATTTTTCTTTCTTGATTTTTTACAAAATCTACTTAGAATTATGCAAAATATGACTAAGTAATTATAAATTTCAAGTTAAATTTTAATTTTGATAAATAATTTAAATTTCAAAATATCAAGTTCAGTTCGACTATGTATGTAGTAATTCCTCAATAAAGTGCCAAAACCCTATTAAAATATATGAACATTTTTAACATTTTAATGTTTTTATTTAAAAATTTGATGGAATATGAGCTTCAAACAATTATTATGTAAATAAAAATAATTAAATATATGTATTTATTCGTATTACAACCGTAGTAAGTCGATTCTTCCTTTCTTCTACTGAGATTTGAATTTGATTTCGAATTGTAAAGAGATTCAAAGGGAAAATACTAGCGGATAAAAACTACCTCCATGAAAAGGTCATAATGGAGTCAAGTTGTATTTTTTGATATTTTTTGCTTTTCGAGCCTAAATAGGTAGCCAAGATAATGCCTAAAAATAAGGTTCTAAATTCTGAAGTTTACATGATCCTCTCGTGTGCACCCTTAAACGTTTTAAATCATTTTGTAGTAAAGAGATTATGAGAATTAAGATTTTTTGGAAATCGAAACAATTTATTCGAACAGAAAGATTTTAAGGAATTTGGATAGTCATCAACAGCTAATTATTCATGAATTTTATTAAAATAATGATACTTTTTTATTTTTTATCTTGAATTTGGAATTTTTTTACAAAAATAAAACGAAGAATTTAATATTGAGTACATTCTAATAATAAATAAAATTTGAATAAAAGTCAGACAGCCGTATGTGCGGCCATAACAAGTAAATATATATATATATAATCTGCGAGACTTTTTTTTAAGGAGAGTGAAGCGACCCAAAACTGTCGGAAAAGTGAAATTCTCAAGTAAACTTGAATCAAAAATAATTCTATGCTAGAGAATTCCAATTCCTATTCGATGAAATTGTGAGAAAGTTTGCATTTTGAAATTCTAATGAAGAAGCTATACCAATCATTTCTTTGATTTCCTGAATGACAGCCAAGAAGAATATGATTTCAAGTTTAGGAAAAAAAGAAGGATGTTACCACTTTTCGAGGATCTATAAAGTGCAGACTAACTATGGATCTAATATCTGCATTCTTTCTCAAATTCACTTTTTTTAAAAAAAAAATTCTGGGGCAGTGACAAATTTGCCCAGCGTCACTTTTTGTCAAAATGACAACAAAGAAATTTTATTTGAAAAAAAAGTCTGAGAGGTACTGACTCCTGATTATTATCAAAATTCACAAAACTCAAAGTTTTAAATTTTTACATTGAAATCTTACAGTTTACATTTCTGCCACGTAAATTTACCGCTTTTTACTTCCCTAAAGAAAGATGTCTCTAAGGTACGAAACCAAAGTTACTATTTCGAAAGTTCCTCAAAATATTACTGAGGCAGGTTTAAAATCTATCTTTGAGAACTGCGAAATTTCAAATATTGAACGCAAAGAAGGGAAAATTAATCTAACTCTAAAACATTCTTTAAAATTCGAAAATCTAAGGCAAGAAGCAGTACGTAAATTTAAAGATATCTTCATTCAGCCATGCATTGACTATTCGCGAATTGCAATCATACTAAACAACGATGGGAAGATTCCTTTTAACAAAGTTAAGGAGTATTTAAAGCGCGATGATGTTATTTGGATACTGAATAAGAAAAAAAAGTATTTAATTTTATTTGACAGCGAAAATTCTCGTAATTCATTTTTAAACGATCAAACAGAGAGGAGAAAGTATAATTTTGTCACGCAAGATGAGTTAAAACTTAATCAGGCCATTTATGACATGCAATACAAGATTTTCATTGACAACGTTCCACCTGATATTAAAAAGAACGATATACGTGAGAAGTTCTCTTCAAGTGGTATCTTAAAAATTAAACTTGAAGATGGAAAATGCATTATTAAATACGATGATCAGGCGATTGTTCGAAATTTGCTTCAAAGTGGTCCTGTTACTGTTAAAGGGCATGTTCTTGATGTATGCATTCACGTTGACCCACAAGCAATCAACGATTTACAAGATACTTCCAACTTTCACTTCAAAGAGTTTGAATCACTATTAACTGATAACCCAACATATTTAAAGAAGATTAAATCCGAAAATTTCAATTACGAGCAATTTCTGAAAAATTATTTTACAAGAATAGGTATCATTGGTGACCTTAATGCATTTTTCATACAATTGTACAATGATACATATCCAAGACTTAAAAACGGTATTTCTCTTTTTGAACAACTTTGCAAATTTAATGGTGAACAAACACACGAATTAATCACCTTCCATTTGAAGAACGCTAAAAATCCAGAAGAAAGGCTTAATGCTTGTAATGAAATTTTCAGAGAATTTTTATCGAATAAAAATTAATTTTTTTTTAATACTTTTCCTTAACTAATGATAAAAATACTTAGTATTAACTTATTAAAACTTACATTCTAAAAAACACTTTATTGTACATGAGAGATTTCAAATTTTATTAAACCAATTATCTTACGTAAAGTCTCCCTATCGTTTTTTGCCCCAATACTGAGTGAATATCTATAAAATTTATGAATGAAAAAGAGTTTATTCATCTTGATTTGCAAAAGTTAAAATTTGAGATAAAATGTTCAGCTTGTTATTACAAATACAGATTCAAGGTAGTTATTCCGATGTAACATTCGAATTTTAATTCTATCTTATTTATTTTCAATCACATTACCGAACCTAAAAATCCCAAGGAATTTTTTTATGCCAAGGATTTCTTTCAACATAGAGTGTCCGGAAAATACCCTTGGCGGCAACAAAGAAGCATAATAATATATATATAATAGGCTAATCATATAATTCCAATTTTATGATGTAATGCAAGGTATTTTAGGAATCAAAAGTTTGTGAAATAATCAAATTGTTCTAATATAATTGGGTTAATTCTGCATTGAAAACAAACTATTTATTTGGAACCAAGTATTTACATAAGAATTTTTATTTATCATTCATTTTTTATTGTTATTTTTCTTTTGAAATGGAATAAAAAGATTTAATATATCATTGTTGCCACATTCTTGGGCATAGTCAAGTGCGGTTTCTCCTTCTCGATCTTTGACCATTGGATTTGCTCCATGTGATTATTATCATTCTAATCCAGAATTGAATATAATGGAAACAAATTTTCATGTTTTGATTATTATCATTCTAATCCAGAATTGAATATAATGTCCCTCGCTAACGGTTATTTCCCCTCAAAAAATGGTTAATCTGGTAGTTTTGGGTATCCCCCCATCTGAAATGAGCATTTTTTTGACACTCAAGTGTCAAATTAAATGAATTGGTTCAAGGCTGAGGCTGATTCCAGATACCAATAAAAAAAAAAAAAAAAAAAAAAAAAAAAAAAAAAGGTAGTGGGGCTTCCAGGCACTTCGTGCCTTCTAGCCCTGAAGATGTTTAGTATAAATGAAGTTTTTATTCGGAAAATTGTTAGTCTTCTTGGTCGAAAACATTATATAATGTTTCACTTTTCACAAATTATATATGTTTTCATGTTTTGTCAAGACTTCTTCTTCGTAAATGTTTTGTCAAGACTTCTTCTTCGTAAATGTTTTGTTGAGACTTCTTCATCGTCAATGAGTGTAAATCAGACAAAAATATATTTTAGGGTAGAAGGTTAGATATAACCTCTTTTCTAACCTCCTTTCTACCCTCTTGAATTTGTCAAGACTTCTTCGTAAATGTTTTGTCAAGACTTCTTCGTAAATGTTTTGTCAAGACTTCTTCTTCGTAAATGTTTTGTCAAGACTTCTTCTTCGTAAATGTTTTGTCAAGACTTCTTCTTCGTAAATGTTTTGTTGAGACTTCTTCATCGTAAATGAGTGTAAATCAGACAAAAATATATTTTAGGGTAGAAGGTTAGATATAACCTCTTTTCTAACCTCTTTTCTACCCTCTTGAATTTTCATGAAATTTACACCAAAAATATATTTTAGGGTAGAAGGTTAGATATAACCTCTTTTCTAACCTCTTTTCTACCCTCTTGAATTTTCATGAAATTTACACCAAAAATATACTACTAGGGTCATTTACGAAGAAATCTCAACAAAGTCTTTACGATGAAATCTCAACAAAACATAGACAAGAAAGTTCATGAGAAATTAGATGAAGAAGTCTTAACAAAGTCTTTACGAAGAAATTCATGAAAATTCAAGAGGGTAGAAAAGAGGTTAGAAAAGAGGTTATATCTAACCTTCTACCCTAAAATATATTTTTGGGTCATTTACGCTCATTTACGAAGAAGTCACAACAAAGTCTTTACGAAGAAGTCACAATAAAACATCTGTCACTTTTCGGGTAAAAACATTTTTATTATTATATATAAATGAATTTTACAAAACCACCGTTACCGTTCTTTGGAAATAAGAGTAAATGTAAAGATATTATATTGAGAGAACTTAAGAAACTACCGAATGGTCTAACATTTGTAGATTTGTTCGGTGGAAGTTTCTATATATCCCATTTGTGCCATACAATATTCCCAGACTCAAAGATTATATGCAATGACTTCGACAACTATATGAACCGTCTCAAACATATACCAGACACAAACAAAATATTGAGTGAGTTGAAAGAAAAGATACCTATAGGTAAGATGGAACGTATACCATTAGATAAGAAAAATACTGTCAGAGAGGTTTTGAAAAAAGCAGAATATATAGACTGGGATAGTATATCTGCTAGACTATTATATAGTGGTGCTATAAGAGTTCATGACATTGAAACACTTATGTCAAAAGTTTTATATCTTAACTATACAAATGTTTTCAAAGAGGACATAGAAAAATATATTGAGGGTATAGAGTTTGTGAGATGTCATTGGACAGATTTGTATGAAAAATATAAAGACAAGGAAAATGTTTTCTTTATAGTAGACCCGCCGTTCTATAACACATGGGATTTTCAATACCAAGTAGACTGGACTTTGAGAGACTCTTTAGAAACTTTAGACGTTTTACATAACCATCCATGCTTTTACTTTACATCCGATAAAAGTGGTTTGGAAAGTGTCATGAGATGGTTAGAGGACATACATGACTATGAGTTTAGATACGATAAGATAGAATATGAGAGAGGTCCTATAAACTGGAGAAAGTGTCATAACAAAGAAATTTTACTAGTAAGTAAATGTGGTTTGAAATAGGACTACTTGTTTTAGGTTTTTTCCATTGTGTCATTTATTTATTTGACGTGGCAGAAAAGTACAGAGAATATGAAGATGAACCAATGCCTGCAAATGTTCAGTATATGTACTCGTAAGAGATATTTTTATCTAATATTAAATGGACGCACAGAATTAGCAAATGCACAGCAACCTGGACAACCAAACCCAGAGAATATTCCAAATGAAGTTAGAATACAAACTGCAATGGCAAACTATGGTCAAGTGCCAACAGATGTACAAATGCAAACTGCCATGTCAAATGACGCTGCGTTAGGCTTACCACCATGGTATGCAAATATGAGATGGAAAGAGTTTTATACAAACCCCGAAGTGGGATATAAACAACTCTATGCAGATGACGCGAACACAGGAGTTGACCAGAATATGTTTTCTACCAGAGGAGAAACAGAATGTATGAGCTCCAGTTAAAGAATGCTATGGAACTCAACAGGAAACGTAAGAGACTAGGCGGACATTAGATTTTTACATATAGTAAAATGGGTTTCTTTGGAAGAATAGGAAACTTCTTTCGAAATGTTGGAAGAGGTATATGGAATGGAATAAAATCTGTCGGAAGAGGAATTTGGAACGGAGTCAAAAATATTGGTAAAAGAGTAGGTCAGTTTGTTGGTATTATACCTAAAGACCCTGAACCAGAAGAACAAGCTCCTGTTATACAACAGCCTGAACCTGCACCACAGTCTAGTTGGCAACCAAATCCAACACCTCAACCGTATTAAAAAATTATATTTTTACCGTTCGATAGTAGTTGTATATGAAACTAAGTTCTAAGTAAAACGCATGGTATAATGGAACTATTCTCTTTCTTCCATCTGTTGTAAACCATACTTGAAAGTCTGAAATACTTCCACTTGGTGGTTCATATAGCTTTGTAGGTTTTTCGTAAAAGTCATTTGCCAAGCATAAAAAAGAGTTTTGTGCACCAGAAAATGAAGCATGAACTATAATAGCAGCTGGGTCGAAAACATCTTTAAATAAATATGGTTCATCTCTTGCATATCGACTGTAAATATTTGCTAAAGGAAGTTCGACTTTCTGATTTAACATTCTTTGCAAATAATACCATGACATTGCAGTGAATTCTGTATATATTTGTTCGTCTTTCTTTGGATTGTCTTCGTAGATTTGAAATGACACTTGTGAATTTTGTTTGTCATATACAATTCTCACATAAAGTGTGCTCTCGGTATTTGCATATTCATCAGCATATTTTGCATAACATGAATTTATTTTATCTTCTATATTTTTTAACGCAGTCTGTAGAGAAGATAAAGGTCAACTTGTATTAGCTCAATTTCTTCCCACATTTTTCGTTTCCCTTCAGATATATAATCTATATGAAACCTTACAATAAATGGAAAACTTTTATCTTCTACAGACACAAACTTCATTCTACGAAAGCCAATAGCTTTTGTGACAGATGGGTCTCTTAGCCATCTTAATGGGTAGTCAAAACGATAGCCTTCATGCTTTACGGTCTCTGTCTCAAACTTTTGACCGACATTAGTAAAAAGTTCATCTAATGGTTTAGTTGTAGCAACTCTTGAATTTTCTTTTTCTATTGGAAGCATATTTTATCTAGAATAAAAATGTCGAGAAACAGCGTCTATGAGAGAAATACAACACAACCGACAACTCATTTTGCAAGCTCTAAATAAGAACACAACAAACTTTTCAAACTATTCTAAGATATCTGAGTCATTGAAAGAAGGAAACTTAAAACTGACGATAAACCCAATGACAGATGAGTTTCTGTTTCAAGACAGTAAGAACCATACTGTTTGTATAAATCCAACAAAAAGAACTTTAAACGAGAAACCTATAGATGAACTTCTTTTGAAAGCAGATATTGACAACAAAGCTGACAAAGAGTATGTAGATGCAACAAGAGACTATATTCTCGCATGGACAGATAGAACATACCCACAAAAACACCATACACATAACATCTATGACGTAGATGAACTACCAGCAATGTTAGATGACAAAGCGGATAAAACATATGTTGACAATAAAATGTCAAGTGAAGTGACAAGAGCTGACAAAGAATATTCTAAAAAGACTCATACACATACCATTGCAAATATTACAAACTTACAAGAAACCTTAAACAGGAAAAGTGACGTTGGACATACACACGATTTCTTCGCAACTGTTGGTATAGAAAATATTGCAGGAACGGTTGAAGAACCTGATGGAACTGGTGGGGATGTACTACTTTGGAAACCTCCTAACTTTCCACAAGGTTTAACATCGGATGAAGACATAACGACGATGAAATACACTAGATGTAGAAATGTCTATGTCATGGAGGATGAAAACAAAGTTAAATTCACTGCTCAAGATTTATATGACAACAAAGCTGACAAAACATATGTTAACGATGAGTTAGATAAAAAAGCTGACAAAACATATGTTAACGATGAGTTAGATAAGAAAGCTGACAAAACAGAGCTTCAAACGTTAAAGACAGAAATACTTCAAACACTATATCCTATAGGTTCTATTTACACGTCAATGAACTCTACCAAACCAGAAACAGTTCTGGGTTTTGGAACTTGGACTCAAATAGTCGACAGGTTTTTGTATTGTGCAAACTCTTCAAAGGAAACAGGTGGAAGTAAAACGATTTCAGGTGCAAATTTACCTGCGCACAGTCACTACGTAAATTTAAGTACATCTGAAGCAGGTTTGCATAGTCATAGATTTTGGGATTGGTCAGGAATGACAAAAGGTAAAGGATATGATGTTAAAGACAACGTTAAGTTTGCTATAAATTGTTACTGGAGTAACACTGAGGTAGGAGGAAGCCATACACATCGCGTTTCAGGGTATACGCAAACAACGGGACAAAGTAAAGACTACATGCCACCTTACATGACAGTTTACGCATGGTATAGAAATGCTTAGTCGTCATTTTCAACTTCTTTAGCATATTCGTCAGGAGTTGTCTTATATTTGTTAGGAACTGTCTTTGAAAGTATACCACCTTGAACTTTGACAAGTTTGAAACGAGGTCTGACAATAGTAGTTTTATCTTCTGCTTGCAGTGTGTACATTTTGCCATGTTTGCCTAAAACTTCATAATATTCTCTTGTATACTTTCTTCTATTTTTACGAACACGAATGCGAGTACCTGTCGAGTTCCCATTGTTGTCATAGTCAATAGTATTTTCATATGGGTCGCGTTTGGGTATTTCTATTTTACTTTGTCACCTTTCTGAAGTTTGAAGCCCGGCATTCTTTCTTGTTTGTCTCTTTTGACTAAATTATTAAATATATAGTCTTTCTCTAAGTCAGGGTTGTTTTTCATTTCTTCGGGGAGTGGTTTCCCAAACCTTTTTGTTTACGGTTATTGTAAATATTTAAAACTTGTCTCATCTTTGCCATGGAGAAGTGTCTATATTTGTCGTCATATGACATTTCATCTACCTCACCACCTTGTGGTTGGTTTAAGTCTCTTAAGATTTTTATACAACTGTCAATGACACCAAGAGCAGAATGGTTTTGGTCGACAATGAAATATTGGTTTACATTTTTTGAACGCAGATAGTTTTTAATATCGTCTGATTTGAAAGAACTTTCACAGTCAGATGTCAGTTTTGTTGGATGGTATTTGTCAACGAATATTGTCAAAGCAGTTTTCACATCTAAAATATTTTTGGACTGTAATGGTATGGCTTCACAGTATCTTGTGTTTTGACCGACAAATATTAGCCAGTATGGTGGTCCATCTTCTCTATACCTCGGAATGTTTTCCAAGATATCCATAAACCAAGCATTTGGTGTTGAACTAAAGATTTTTATCATGAGTGCTTTCTTTGTCGCTTTAGAAACATAGGGGTCCTTGTTTGGATTCGTCATTTTTTACCCATAAGAAATGGGTTTATTTGGCGCATTAGCAGGAGTTGCATCCAGATTTTTGCCCGCAGTGGGAACAATAGCCAGAGGTGCATTTGGAATTGGAAGGAAGATTTTGAGTACATTAGGTATACTTAAAGAGAAAGCACAACCTATTATACAAACTGTACAGAAAGGTTGGGAGGTAGCACGAGATGCAGCAAATCTTATTCCAAATCCTGAAACAAGAGGAAAAGTTCAAGGATGGATGGACAATGTAGGAAGACAAGCAGGAAACTACTATAACAAAGCAAATGACTACTATAACCAAGCAGGACACTATATGGACCAAGGTGAAAGATTCTTTAACAGAGGATATAACCATGCACAACAGTGGGTAAACAACAACCAACCAACCGCCTCAAACGTGGGGAATGTAAATTTTTTACTGAGATGAAATGAACAATACAGCATTGAGACAAATGGGTTCAAGATGGATTTGTCGACTTCCAGCAGTTACACAACCACGTGTTTGTCAAGTTCTTCCTATACCTCAGGAAGTTTTAGACCGACTTAAAAAACCTAAACAACCAGTTGAAAACAAACCAAACTAAAATTTTTTACTGAGATGAAATGACCGAAGAAGTTGAAACGGTAGATTTGACACCACAAACAAAAAGTTCAGAACCATTGTCAAAACCTGTCAAAGAACTTACAGATGAAGAGAAAAATTCAATAATAGAAAGTGCCAGGTCTGGAAATACAAACCCTAACTACAAAGTCACTTTTCATAGAAATGGAACGGCTAGTATCTCAAAAAAGAAACAGACTCTCACAAATAAAATATTGAAGTCTGAAGGAGCTTTCGAGACAACAGATGGAAAAGTTTACTTCACTGACCAACAGTTCATTATAGAACATCTCATTGACTTAGAGTCGAAATATTCTAAACTTTACAACAAACACAAAAAGTTGAAAGGAAAACAAAAACAAATGGCATATGATATTTATGAAGATGTTGACGACACAACCATACCTGCAAGTGAGGTAAAGTCAGAGGAACCGAAAAGTGACGAAAAACCGATAGAAGAAGGAAGCCAAAAACTGAAGATAAACCAAAACCAAAGGTTAGTTTCCAAACTAAACCAAGTCAACCTTCATTAGCTGGTATGGGTTGGCGTCAAAGACTTATGGCAGCAGGCGGTTATGTAAAGTAAAGAAAAAAATATTTTTTTATTTTTATAAAAATGCCCCCATATAGAATGGATAGAAAATCTGCTAGAATAAAAGCAGAGTTAGAAAGATATGGTTGGAAAGTTTCAAAGAAGTTTAAATATAGGAAGGGAAGACCCATAAAAGTCTATGACAAATTGTCTGGTCTTCGCTATGAAATGGACTTGGAAACAGCACGCGCAAATTATCCAAACAGACTAGAGAGGTTAGAAGAAGAACGTCTTATGGACATGCCTTTCGATGTTAGTGAACCTCAAGTTGAAGGACACGACGGCTTTGCCAGATTCTACTGGAAACATGACGAACAATTGCATCCTTTGAGGAGGAAAAAAGGAAAAGGTGAAGACGCACATGCTCCCATGGAAAGAACAAGATATGCATATGAAAAGTATCGTGAAGTTAGAAGTAAAATTACTTCTGGTCGAACCTTTACAGTAAACTTTGACGAAGGAAAGAACAAAGAAGGCTTCATGGGTGTACTTGCTGCAATTCAAGATGGAAATAAGAAAGGATACAATCTCAGACTAACCGTAACAGATTTGGATGGTCACATTTACTATGCACATGGCAATGTCACAACAGCTGCAATGCTTCTTGACGCTTTCAAGACTACAAAGAGAGAACAAATGGTTGACTCCGACTCAGACATTTTGAATGCAATTGAAGGAATTGCAAGTGTAAAATTTGAATGGTACCAACCTAACCCTCAAGCAGTCAGACAACATGCTGGATACTTCCCGTTCATAAATAAGTCTGACATTGACTTGACAAGGTATGGAATTTACAATTCAATTGAAAAAATTGTCAATGAACCTTGTATTCTTACATGTCTCAGGAACTCTGGTCTTGTTACAGATGAGAAAATGAAGTATCTTGAGTCATGTGTGAAGACAAGGTACATTCTTAGGGGTCAATTGGCAAAAGTTGCACCGTTGGCAAATGTCAATATCCGAGTCAACATACCTACAGCTAAAGGTTCTTCACATGACGACTATGTTGTTGACAAAGACTTACCATGGTTGAAGATTGTAATTGTCCACAACCACTTCATGTTGAACGAAAGTCTTACAAACCCATTGTTCGGAAAAGGCAAGTGCAACATTGTCAGAGCTGTAAACATTCTTTTCGAGAAAGGTTTGTTGGAACCAATTCCAGATGACAAGCTGACAGAAACTTTTGTACCAAAAGACGAAACAAACTTTTCATTGTTAGCAAGACCAAAAGTTGTTCCAGACAAAGTTCTAGCACAAAAGAAGTACACAGTTCCAAAAGGAGTTGGATTGTTCGGATACCAACCTGAACCAGAAGAACTTCCAATGAGGTTGCAAGAACTTCAAGATGCTATAAACAAACTTCCATTGAGACATCCAATTGACGTCAAATTGTATTGGAGAGCATCTGAGTTAGGTCAGAAGGTTTTATATGAAACAGGTTGCTTCGACGATGTTTATGAGATAGCAGGCGAAGTTTCTCAGAAGATAAGAGACTCACTTGAATTTCCACGAACTGGACCCATTGGTTGCGACAAGTTCGACTCAGATGAAAAGATATACTATGTCGACCTTAACGCTGCGTACATGAGGTTCGTCCAATATATCCCGACTGGAATTCCAAACGAAGACGGTGAGTTCCCAGGAAGGAACTATACAGTTGGAAAAGTCATACAACAACTGTATGATATTAGGAAAGCTTCAAACCCCAAACTTGCAATGACACTCAAATTGCTTATGAATTCGACATGGGGATATTCCATTAAGAAACCTCAAAGATGAAGAGTAAACATATGAGAAGGTCGACAACTTTGTTGAAAGGTTCTCCCCTTTTGTTTTGAAATACGAATTTACTCAAGGTCAAGTGGCTTAGTAACCACAGTAAAACCTATTGTCGAACATTGGTCTTACCCTCAGTTCGCAAAGGCAGTCCTTGACAACTACAACAAATTCTTCTCCGAAGTCAAATCCAAAGTGAAGGTTTACTATGAGAACATTGACGCACTCATGACGAACGAAGAAGGCTATAACAAACTCATTGAAATGGGAATGGTCGGTGAAAAGATGGGTCAATTCAAATTGGACAAAATTTTCACCGAAGTTCATGTCCTCTCCAAGCGTAAGTACTGGGGCATACTTGAAGACGGCACAGAAATAAAACATTGCATGAAATAAAAAATTTTTATTCGAATTTGAATCGGACAGGTCGAGTTACACCATTCTTGGTCTCAAACTCATATATAACCTGTTTGTCTGTATTTTCGTCGACTATGGCACGAGACACGAACATTGACCAAACGGACAAAAAGTGTCATTTCAGATGGTCCCGCAGCCAATCGCATTCGAGCACTTCGAAGAAGCCTTACGTTCCAAGGGAGAGGGTGTCTGGTGCAAGGCAGAGGTCATGAACTCTACGAGCAGTACATCCTCAATGCCTGGGAGGACAAATCGTCCTTGGATTGGCAATTCTACCAACTCCTCTGGGACGACCTCCTACGCAACTGGGATGACGAAAGAGTCCAATTCAGAGGTCGGAACTAATTGTCCAAATTACCTTTAATTTAACCGCTTACGAACTAAAACTAAATTTACTCGGGGTTTCCCCCTAAAATAAAATTTTTTTACTCTTAGAACCACTCGAGGTTCTCCTTACGGTTGTTGAGCTTGTCACCGTCAATGTGTCTGACCTTCGTCCTCTTGTTTGGATTTGGAACCCATTGAATTGCGACAAGCTTGCCCATGGAGATTGAACCGTAATTCCGAAGGGTAAGGTTCAAGTGTCCCAAGTTGTTGAGGACTGGGGTAAGAACCTTGCCGTCTCCTTGTTGCGGATTTGGTATGGGTAGGGTTGGGAAATTTCGTAAGTCATCCGCAACAAGGGTTGCCCAAACTTCCTCTTCTTCGTGTTTCTCTTCTTCCTCTTCCTCTTCTTCTTCCTCTTCGTGTTTCTCTTCTTCCTCGACAATTCCTTCTTCAATTCTGTGTTCACGAAGTACGGTGTTGCATGTTCTGTCCTTTCCGAGTACCTTCCAGATGGCGTCTATCTCTTCGAAGAAACGGTAGATGAGTCTGGCAAGGTCTCGGTTTTCTCTCTCGTAAATGCGCAAGGTTTCCGTCAAATCATTCAGGCATTTCTCATTGGAAGCTTGGTTCATGAGGACATCGGCTTTGAGCTTGGTCATCTCTTCCATAAGACTACTTTGGAGAGTCTTAACGGTGTTTGTCAGATGAGCTTTCAAATTCAAAATTTGAATTTGAACTGGGCGCTTGTCTGGCAACATTGAAAGGACATCTGCCATTGTGTTCGGCTTCGGTGCTTGTTCGGACATCGAAAAAATGAAGTGGTTTGAGAATGACGGTTTTACTTCAAAAAGCTTGTTATGACGGTTATGTCATACAACAAGTTTAAAATAATATCTTGTTCTTCTTCTGAACGTTTGTTGTCTCTTCCGATAAAAGTTTCGAACATGAGAACCAAAAAACGTTTTTTGAGATTGCGGAAGAGTTCAGGCAAACGTTCATATTCTGGATATGTTGGGAGCAGTTCAAAACATCTGAGCTGACTTTCGGACAAAATTGGGACAATGTCAGAAAATTCATCTTTGGTCGGACTGCTTGAAGGTAAGTCCCTTACATGTAAGTAGCTCTGGTAAAGTCTTCTCATTTCTGCTAACTTTTGGAGTATAGCTTCGTAGTTTAGAAGTTTTAATTTTAATTGTCTTATTCCACTCTTTACTTCTAAACGGTAACTATCCATGAGGTCAAGAGTAGCTTTGGTAGCTTTAAGTGGAGCTATCTGTTCCTTGACTTGTGCAATTTTGGTTGCAATTGTGGTTTGAGCTCCTTCAAGTTCGCCGTCTATGTCGTTCTCAACACCTTCAACCATAGCTTGAAACTCTTCATCGGTCCATTGAGATTGGTGTGGGACGAATTTAACTTGCTTCATTCAAAAAAGAAAAAAAAATGTTTTTACTCAAAGCGTGCCATATAGATGGCTATAAGAAACTTACCAGAAGGCTTCTTCTTCACATGAGTCTTCGGCAACTTGAGTGTTGGTGTTGGAGTTGGGTCTGGAATTTCAATTCTCTCTCGAGCGCAACAACAGATGTCAGAATAACATTCCCCACTGTCTTTCTTGCCACCATAAATTGTGTATTGACCGAACTTGCATTTGCAGGAAGACCGGTCAATACAAGGTTCACAGTTGAAATAGTTGTACACAAACCTGTTGAGTACGAGTGTGAGTAAAAACATAAAAAAAGTGAAGTTAAAATGAGATGTTTACTGAATTGGTTGGATGTCGCCTTCTGAGGTTATGAAGAACGGCTGTCCAGAGTAGTGAAGTAGTGCTCTGAGAATTTGTGTAATTCGTGGAATTGGGCTCTCACGATATGGAAGTAGTATCCAAGGACGTTTCATGAAGAACTTCAAGAGGGCTTCTTTCTTCACATCCTTAATATCATCGAATGCAGTGCCTTCTGGAACTTGAATTGCAACACCTGTTTCAATTTCCAACTTTAAGACACTATTCTTGGACAACCAGAAGCCAATGGACTTGCTTGGTTTGCACTTGCTGAGATATTCCTTCACGGTTTCATTTACCTCAATTAGATAAATTGCTTCGTCTAAGGGGTCAAGCTCCATACTGAGTCAGTACAATATTGTACTTTTTCAAGACAATGTTGTACTTTTTCAAGACAATGTTGTACTTTTTCAAGACAATGTTGTACTTTTTCAAGACAATGTTGTACTTTTTCAGAACAATGTTGTATTTCAGTACAATGTCTCTCAAATTTGAGTACAGCTGTACTTTTTCAGAACAAGTCTTGAACTTTTTCAGAACAATGTTGTACTTTTTCAAGACAATGTTGTACTTTTTCAAGACAATGTTGTACTTTTTCAAGACAATGTTGTACTTTTTCAAGACAATGTTGTACTTTTTCAAGACAATTGTACTTTTTCAAGACAATGTTGTACTTATTCAAGACAATGTTGTACTTTTTCAAGACAATATTATATTGTTTCAGAACAAAGACGGTTAAGACACAAACGAATGTCCGACGTCCCACCTACTGAACCCGTTCCACAGCCAGAAGAACAGCATGCTCCAGCACCACAACAGGTTCCACCTCCACAAGGCTACCCACAGCAACCTCAGTTCCAACAAGGACCTCCGAATTACTACCAATTTCCACCTCAAGGTTACTACCCACCTCAAGGTTACTACCCACCACAAGGCTTTCCAAACTACCCTCCTCAACCCATGCCTTACTTCCCTAACCCTTGGATGTTCATGTCAAACCCTCCACCCCAATTCCAATCTCAATCCCAATCGAAGAGAGACCAAGAGTTCGAAGAAGGTCTGAACCGTTTACGCAAAGAGTATGCCCAGCCCCTATGGAAGATGACAGGCTTTCAGTCTCTTCCCTAAGGTCGACCAATTCGACTCGTACCACAGATTCGGTTCGTGACCGTGAAGACTACCTCAAGCAGTCTGAGAGACTCTTCATCTTACAGCCATTTACAGTTGGAGCTCTCAAGAACATGCGCAATTACGAAGGTCAGACACCAGCTGGAGACCGCAAAACAGACGTACTCGCAAGAGCAGTCCAACTGGTCAAGACAAAGACTGAGATAGTCGACTTCATTCTTGCAGCTTGCCCATACAAGTAAAAAAATAAACAATTACGAGTTAAACTTTTTACTCTTTCTTTTCTGAGTTGTTTAGAGCTGGTTTCTCTTGTAGAAACCTTTCGTACTCTTCCATGGTCATGTAATTGCGAATTTGGTACGCAATTCCAGGTTCGTTGTTTTTGAACCTTACGTATGTAACGCTTCCATCCTCCTCAGGGAAGTAAGCTGCTAACATCTGACCAAGTTTTCTCGGTGACTCGGAGCTCATAAAAATGTCACTTTTTAAACGTTAAGTTTTTAGTCTTATTTTACCCTTTGTTTACCCTTTGTTTGTCAAGGTAGTATTGGAGTGCAATTTCTCCAAATTCTCTGTGTCGGAGTTCTTCAGCATTTTCCAAGGTGTACCTGGAGAACTCAAAGAAGTTGTCAAGAACATACTGCCATGCTGCTCTTCTGAGTTCGTCGGTATTTTGGAAGTGTTGCACCTTCGAGTCTTCGGACATGAAAAAATAACACTTTTTCTATTAAACCGTTTACAATTTGAATTTTGTTGCTGAATTCGCAAAAATATATTTTAGGGTAGAAGGTTAGATATAACCTCTTTTCTAACCTCTTTTCTACCTCATGAATTTTCATGAATTTTATACAGAAAATGCTTGTTTTGAGGTCGAGCCACTTTTGGCTCCACCGTATTCTTTCAACCAAAACTCATGAATTCGGCAAAAATATATTTTAGGGTAGAAGGTTAGATATAACCTCTTTTCTAACCTCTTTTCTACCCTCTTGAATTTGTCATGAGTTTTCCCGAAATAAAAAATAAAGTTGGTTTTTTTAAAAAAAATATTTTTTTATTTTTATTGTAAGAACATGTTAGCAACAACAGCACCAAACTCGTTAGTCATGAACCCAACTTCAATGTTAGTAGAGATGAAAAGCTTCATTCCTTCTTCATATACTTTCGAAACAAA